GCATTTGTTCCTTAGTTATAGAACTTTTTTTTTTATTATGCCCTTTTTTGTATATAATTGGTCTCACTGCTATGTTTTAACTGCACACACACATTCTCACGCGCACAAACACATACACACTGTACATAGTTACCACAACGATGAGTGGGGCGTGCCGTGCTATTGCAACGGTTCACTGCTCTCCCCGCCTCAAACAACAAAACTTTCAAATCGCTTCCTGAATTCTTCCTGTTTATTTATGTACTTTTTCTGTCCTTATGACACTGCTTTTGTTTATGATCAGAGAGTACTGGGAATCGTAGAGTTCCCAGATAACCTTCCAATTGTTTGATACAGATAAACTCACTTTTTACAAGACAAAGGGAGCCACGCCCTGACATGTACGCAAGGTAGGAATGTGTTTTCAGTGAGAGCATAGTTTCATCAGGCTGATGAGCTGCTGCATTATCTGAATGTAGCATGTAGCTGCAAGCTCAGACAGCGCAGTGAGAGCAGCTCTTACAACTGAACTCCTCCCTGATGCCACTGACTGGGGTTATCCTCTGTTACAGGAGCATTTAGAGCAGGGGTGCCCAAACCTTTTGCTTCCAAGGGCCAAAGTAAAAATTTGCCAGTCGGCCGCGGGCCAAATACACCGATATTACGCATGAGACACAAATAAATGTAGATTTGATCAAGTTCAATTAAATGCATTAATTATTGTCTATCAGTGCAAATCACAGCTGAATGAATGAAATCAACACAGTCTTAGTGAAATGGAGACTCCAGGGAAATATGCAGGTTTGAGGAGACTACAGTACGGAAAGATTAATTTAAATAATCTATATTTTTAACCTGCTCATGTCAGTAAACTGTTTGTTGAAGACCTTTTTCTAAACAGTTTTGCATTACTATAGTACAGTGATTTATAATGTATAGGTTTATTGTACTAGCAAATGACATTTACTTTACAAAAGTAAAGTCTATTTTCATATATTTATTTTGAACAAAAGTTTTTAACTACATTTGAATCATATTACTTTATCTTAGCTGATCACTGATCAATAGATCTGGTTTTAGCACACTTTTAAACAATACATTTAAACATTAAGTAATGAATTTGGGAACATAATTGCTAACTGCATTTTCTAAACATGATCAGGTTTTAACTCTGTTTTAACTTAATATTTTTAACATAGGGCAAGGATTCTCAATTAGTAGTGAAATGAATATTAAACTAACAAAATCAGACTAGTTAACTATGATTTGCTCCTAGAGTTTGTTTTGTTTTGCCTAAACACAGTACAACATTTATAAACAATCAAAACAAAGTAACTGTTAAAGAGTCCGTGTTTCCAATCCTCCAAAGGGCTCTTGAACGCATCATAAAACGCCGCGTAAGTTCTGACATTCAATGATCGCGAGTGAGGACGGCGCTTACCGGCTTCTTTCATGGGGTTGTAGAAGGGTTTGTTTGGCACAGTATTTGTTGCTTCTACTTGCTTGGATCGTGCGCTGCGATCCCTGCTTGTCCTGATTGAACTCAAGTTCACAAATCTGAAGTGTGTGTGTCCGTCTTTTTTAACACACCGGGTGGGTGCGGATTGCGCAGGTGAATAGTTCCACTCGCCATTTACCTCCGGTGAGGAGGGGGAGTGGCAGTTCGCCAGCACAATCCTCTCAATTTGATAAAACATTAAATTGCTCAAAAAAATTATAATAGTAGGCTGAAAAAAAAGAACATAAAGGGGCCTTGCACCCAATTGTTTTGAAAGATGTGTTTGATTTTAAAAAACATTTTAGTGCAAGTAGATGTGAACCATGAGTGAGGAGTGAACCGTGAGTGAGGAGTGTATCTCGATACAACAGTAAAGTACTGGACAGTCTGCATTCAGAGGGCGTTGGTGTGCCCGTGCAATCTCAGACATGTCACTGTTTGTTCAGTGAGGTTGAAAGACCCAGACAGAATCTTACAATGTTTGGAGGGCCAACTGAAATGGTCAGTTGGCCCGCCACTAAGTAGAAAACTACTTTGGGCACCCCTGATTTAGAGGCTGTCGTCGTTCATTACTCAATTATTTCTGATCATAATTTAAACCAAAATGTTGTACATACTTAATATTCAGTCATTTTTAAATGAAGAAATGGTTAATCCTTGGTTAGACATTTTGTACTCATCATTCACCCAATTTATATGAATTATCTACTACATTGACTTGTTTTTTTATATCCACCTGTTCCCCATCTGAGGGATCTGTCAGTATTTCTTTTGGCTGCTAATGGGAGTAGATCAAGGGCTTTATAGTTCAATTAATAATGCATCGGTTTTATATAGCGCTTTTTTGGACACTCAGACGCTTCACATCTCATTTTTCATTCACTCCATACACGGTGGTGATAAACTATTACTGTAGCCACAGCTGCCCTGGGGCACACTGACAGAAGCCAGGCAACCAGTTTGTGCCATCGGCTCCTCCGACCACCACCAACCATTCACACACACCAGACTTATTCCAGGCAATGCGGGTGAAGTGTCTTGCCTAAGGACACAACGGCAGTTTGGCACTTTATAGCCCCAGCCGCCCCACTGTTGCATCAGGTGTTCCCAGAGGTTAAGTGTTTTGCCCAAGGACACGACGACAGCAGACATCAGTGGGAGTCTGTGGAGAAAGTCTTGTGGTGGGCTCGAACCCAATCTGGTGGTGGGCTCAAAGGCCAATGCTCTTCCAACTGAGCTACTGTCACCCAATTAAAGATGGCTTTCCTGTTGGAGGGTCTACTTTTTGCTTGGGCGATCTTCTGAATTTTGTTCTGCCTGGAATGGTCGGTTTTCTGCTGTGGAACAAAGCTTTTGGAGAAAAGTTACTGTCATATCTGCAGAGAGTAGAGCTAAGACAAGTGTACACATTTTTAATAAATAAAGTAAAAACATTTCAAACTGATGCACATTCCAAGCAAAGCAATAACATCTCCATGGCTTGTTGTCAAGTGTCGTACCCCATTTGAATAGTTTGAGCGATACATCATTTAATAATTATTATTATTGCAATTTTGTGATTACCTATTTTTGATAGTGTAAACTTGGTGTTTTCAAGTGTTGGTGTTTTTTAGCTGTGCATGCAACTGAACAATTGCGTCTTCACCATTTAATGTTTGTTTATAATTTACAATCATACCAGGCATTATAATATCTATGATTGCAATGTTTCTTCTAGTTTTGTTGAGCACTTTGAGGTGCCTTGTGAATGAACTGTGTACAAATAAATGTGTCTTGCCTTAAATCAAAGCTCAGGACAACACAGACAAGAAAAGCACAGCTAATAAAACATTTGCATAACTGTTGCTTTGTATGAGCACATAAACAACATTTTGACACAGTTGTGCCATAACTGCGTATAAAGCCTGTGGCGGGACAATGGCTGACTGTAATTTAACACAACACAAGCCTTTGCAGAGCCAGGGGCCAAATGTGAAGGGAGTGTCTCTCTTCAAGCACACTTATTCAAATGTGCAGTGGTTGAAAGTAAACGGACAAACTGTACTCTATTGTAAGTTATGGGTTGGTCGCAGAGAGCCGCCGTGCAACAACGTACTTATTAAACTACAGAGCTGCATACCTGTCTTATTAAGAGCGCAAAGACTGCTCCTTCTGTTAACTAGGTGTTATTTGGAAATGCTACATGCTAGTTTTCTCATATTTTACATGGTAACCCCACTAACAGGCGAGGTATTGTAATCATCCATGTGTGTTTTTCTGTAGACAGGATAGTGCAAAAACTACTGGACCAATTTATCTGAAAGTTAGTGTGTAGATAGTGTGTGATGGTGGTAAGATGCTCATGGCGGGGTATGGTTTTTCCTGTGGAATTGGTGATTACATCTTGTATCACCATAATCAGTGTGTGATACTGTTTTGGCTGAACTCAACATAAAATCAAGAATAAAGTAGGTGTATTGTCCAGATGTTGTACAGGTAAAGATTAAGATGGTTAAAAAAGTTCCATGCTGAGTTCTAAAATGGAAAGCCTTTACATATGTAATCTAATTCAATGCGCACAAAAAGCCAAAATCTGACAGTTTTCAACATGAATTCAACAAGATAAGTTCTCATTTTTCTACTTAGTAAATTTATCTCTGTTCAGTTTTGAGATTAGAAAATAGTTGACAACACATGTATTTTGCTTGTATTTCTGTGCGTTTTGCTTGTACCTCTGGAGGTTAAACTTGACAGACTGGTTGCACATTGCCGTGTGTCAGCAGTAGCAGCTCTCCCACAGGCGGCTGAGGGTGGAGGCCCGGGGTCATTGGCACAGCATTCTACATTTAGAGCTTCAAACACCCATCACCCTGATCCTAAAACCTCACGTGAGCTGTCAAAATCACCAACTGGGATTTCTTCTCAAAGAAAGAAGGAAAAATGGACAAAAGCGACAATTGGTTCTGATAAATTATACCATTGCAACAACTTTACCACTGACACAATCACAATACAGCTGCTCTAAATCACCATTCATGTTTTTATATTATTTCTAGTGATTTGTGGCAAATGAACAACCAAAAAACTCTATTAGCCATAAGTTTCACCCTATAACGTCTGTTTTCCACAGCTACTCTTTCAGGACAAAATGACTGAGAACTACTCCTTAAGTGGTTTAAAGGAAATTGAGTCAGTACAGAAGATTGGTTAGATGGAATCTGTAGTGGTGTTCAGAAAACCCAAAAATGGCGATAAATATTGAATCTAAAACTTATGGTTCCAATGTTGACTGCTTTTCATAACATGAGGGAGGGTTTTGCAGTTGGCTTGTCAACCTGACATGTTTGAGTTTGTCACCTTTTTCAGAAGACAATGCTTATTTCATGAATGGATATTGTTGCAACTATTGTGTATTGAACAATAAGTGGATATCGCAATAATTATTGTGACCTTAGCATTAAGCATATGACTCCCTGTTGCTTTGTTTTGTTCCACATGACATTTTTTGAAGAGTTTAATATGAACCACTGTTTGTGTCTTTCAGGTTTGCGCCATCGTCTTAACAGGAGACAAAGATGTCCATGCAAAGTAAGTGATGTCTTTTATTCGCAAGCCGTTTTGGCTGTTATATATTTGGCCCGTTTACAGTACTTTATGAAAAGGAACCTCCATCTATTGTCTTTCTGTGTTTATACTAAAACACTTTTTTGTTTCAGAAAGGGGAGGTTTATTAATTATACTTCTAAAAATGTAATTTTTCTTTTCTTGCTAAACTTTCTCACCTAAATAGGCCTATTCACCAAGACATTCTTTGTCTGTCTTCTGTCCACTAGTTGATGGAATGAATCAAGTGTAAAGAGAAAAGGTTTCATAAAAAAGTAATTCACCTTCTCAATTTGCAGTTTCTGGATCCAGCAAGCGGCTGACCACAAAAAAATACAAAAACAAAAAAACACTTTTACAAAGCTCTTTCTGTTGGGACAAACTGTTATTTTAGGCAGGGTATTTAAGTACCCCAGCTTTAACAACCTCCTATTGACTGTTGGACTAGCGTTAATAACAATAATAACTTTGTCTACAGTGGGGGAGCGTGATGGCATGGTGAAGGTGGCCGAGTGGCAACAAACCATGTACAGCACCGACTCTGGGATCCAGTCCGGAGCCACTACTGTGCGCGATGATGACAATTCAGACTACACCACCAGCAAACACTACACCATGACCACCACCGTGACCAGCCAGGACCCCGGCGGTGAGACCACAGGGGGAATGCACTTCGGCAGGGGAAATGTTTTAAGATGAGTGCTCTTTAAACCAAACTGTTCTGCTCAGTTGGGAGCACGAGCACTTGTAATTGGGATGTATTATTAATTTCTTCAATCATTAGTAGTCAAGAAGAACTATATCATATCCCTAAATGTACTATTATGACCTTAAAGCTTGGACTTAAACCTGTAACTTACTCAATATCAAGTCGCACAGAGAAAATCTGTAAGACATCACATTCAAAACTCAATTCTTAACTCTCAACCCCAAACTGTACAATTACCTAAGTATTTACTCAAAATGTAGATATAGAAAAAAAGATTGCATTTTGTTTTAGAGTTATTCAAAACCTTCTAAAATGATTGGGAAATGTTTGGTCATAAAACAAAAAAGTATATATTATCACTGTTGGTTTTAGTTGTCTTAATAAAATGAATATACATTTTACTCCTAGGGATGAGCATTGAAAAAAAAAGATAAGAAAAACTAATTTTATTTCCTAACTGGTTTATAAACCATTTGTAGATCAATATTATCGCCTGTTGTTTTAAACTTCCACTTACTCATGTGTTGTTCTCCAGAGATCGATGCACAGTACGCTCTCACCAGGACCCAGAGAATACGAGCGGCCATGTTTCCCGAGACCCTGGAGGAGGGCACAAAGATCCTGTCCACTCAGACCGACCCGTCCCAGATGACCAACGTCCAGAGACTCGCCGAGCCCTCACAGATGCTGAAGACCGCCATCATCCACCTCATCAACTACCAAGACGACGCAGAGCTGGCCTCACGCGCTATCCCTGAGCTCACAAAACTGCTCAACGATGAAGACCAGGTATGAAGACCTAACTACCTAACTGGAGCAGTGGTTCTCAAAGTGCCGTCAAACGTGGATTATTACCTTATCTTATGCTATACAGTGCTAAACATGTCTGATTCAGATTTTACACTTTTACTTTTAACACTACACATTTGGCATCATATATTTTGAATTCTATTGCTTCCTCCAGAGTTATAAAGGGTCCACAAGGTGAGAATCTTGAACCCTGGTCTTGAGGACTGTGTGACTCCAATCCTCATGATGTCCAATCCTCATGATGTGGCTGATCTTCAATGATTGGTAGAATACAATAGATATATAATGGGTCGATGACAACCACTCAACCAATTAATCAATAAACGATTGTACTTTACATCCACTCATGTTTTCAATTTTTAATGACCTATTTGAAATACCTATTAGTTCATAGAGCAAATAAAAGTGTCTTAAGTGAGAAAAGACTCGAGACTGCAGTTTGAAAAATAAAATAAAAAAGTTTATGTACACTGCCCATTCCTGATTGTAAATCACAAACACAATCACCAGTTTGCAGAAAATGGAAAACACCTTTTTCTTCCCAGGTTGTGGTCGGTAAAGCGGCCCAGATTGTGAACCAGCTGACCCGTAAAGAGGCCTCTCGGCGCGCGCTGATGCAGTCTCCACAGATGGTGGCTGCCGTGGTGAGGGCTATGCAGAACACCAGCGACATGGAGACAGCTCGCGCCACGGCCAGCATCCTCCACAACCTGTCCCACCAGAGAGAGGGCCTGCTGTCCATCTTCAAGTCCGGCGGCATCCCGGCTCTTGTGCGCATGCTCAGGTACAAAGGACTCACAAAGAATGCCCAAATTCACCACCATGGCTTGATATGAATGTTGGTACTCCAAAGCCTGTAAAAGAAGCAGATAAACAATATGCATATGCAGTAATAATTATAACAGTGCCTTTAAAAAATAACATTTGATTTGGCATAATGTTTATAATATTTTTTTTCACATGCATGCATGTTTTTTACCTTCTGTCACATATTTAGATCAGCTTTCTTTAGATCAGAGACAACTACAGTAGACAGTCTCTTGGATTTTAACATTTTAACATTGGTGTCAGGTTGGAGACAACCTATTCGGAGCATTACATGTTTACATTTTGAAATATTTTGTATCAAAAGCTTTTAATGCTTGCATTGCTTAAATTGTAGCTTATAATCAGGACAGAGTTATGCAAGAATTGATACGTCAACTTATGTCTAACAATATATATATTTAAATCTTTGAATACATAATTTGCTGTGATCTAAATCAAAGCCCCCTCTCCACAGCTCCCCCATGGAGTCCGTGCTCTTCTACGCCATCACCACACTGCACAACCTGCTGCTGCACCAGGAAGGAGCTAAGATGGCCGTGCGATTGGCCGACGGGCTGCAGAGGATGGTGCCCCTTCTGAAGAAGAGCAACCCCAAATTTCTGGCCATCACCACAGACTGTCTGCAGCTGCTGTCCTACGGCAACCAGGAGAGCAAGGTACAAGCTGTGAAGTTTATCACATGGGATCAAAATGACTTTGTATAATGCCATTAAACGCACTAATCAAAAAATGTTCAAACTAATGCACTTCAAAAGGTCAATTAAACTGTCAAAACTAGTCCTGGGTTTTATTTGAGTTTCCTTTCCTGGGAAACAAAATACTATTTATACCATTGAGAAAGAAATGTGTTTAAAAAAAAAATTCTATTAAGAAAAAAAATCTATCGACTGAAATTGCCCATTTGCAGATGTCCTGAAATTAGGTGCGCAGCTCAGACAATTTAACTCTAAAATATGTTTTCTAATCTATTTCCTTGTTTCCAGAGTCTGGAGTTATTGTGTGCATATATTTATTCAATGCTTATAAAACAATGAATAGTGAAATTGTACAGTATTTTACATTATTTCTATACTAAACTGGATCATGGCTTGACATTAGATGTTGATGGTGGGTCTTGAGATTGTTTCAGTTTAGAAGGGATGACATTTGACAAGTTATAATTTAGATTTAAAATGTAATGTTTATTTATACCCAAGAAACAAACTCATTAAAACAAAATCATAAAAGTATCCATCAGTACCACCATGGAAAAAAGGTTAATTTATCTCTGTCTGATATCGCCTGCCCTTTGTTTGAGTGACTCTTTGTTGAATGTGAGTGCTTTGACAGAAGAGATCACAGTTGGCTTCATGCGAGGTTGGCAGGTGGCGTGACACTGGGCCTTATGAGTGGATTAATAGACTCTAAACAGACTGATGAATGTTGAGCTCAGCCGGGCTGGAAATCTGAGCCCGTTCAGGTGGTTCTGCTTGTGTCTGCATGTGCTGTGTTTTGGGTGTGTCCTGGGAATAGCGGTTTGTCATCTGGCACTGTGTGTTTTGGGTGTCGGTCAGGTTCTTGTTGACGTATGAATATTCATTGTAATTCCACACCGTGTATCAAAGATTTATTGTTACACACTGCACAATTTCACAGCGGGTGCAGGATATGTGCATTTGGCTGCATTTTATAGCAAGATAACATTGGAGTGCCTAACTTTCTTTTGTTTCATGAATACATTGTGTTTGTGCCAACAGAATTCTTGTTTTAAGTTACATTTTCACAACATGCTGCCTTCCTCTTATCAGAAAACATTTTATCTTTTACATACGGAAGGATAATTGACTTAGGGCTGGTACTTTTTTTAGGCTCCCGGTAGGATTGGGGGGATCAGGGAGGGGGATGGCTTTCTTCTTTAGAAGTAATGAGTCTAGAAAACGGGTTAGAAGTCAGGAGACCAATGGTAGTGACGTTTAGACATAGAATCTGTACTGTTCTGTGTGGAAATAAAATGCTAATAAAAATATTCAAATCTAGAGAGGCCACAAATGCATGCATGTGAAAACTAGTGATAGAACCAAACTGTTTTGATAGAGTGGAAGTAGTTACACGTAATTTATTGCAATGTCATTTTTGCCGTTTTCAAAGTTGGGGAGGTTTTTATAGTCTGAAGAACCGTGCTCTACATTCTGAAGTTGTTCTTAATACGGTTAATAACTCGACCACTAAACATGCTAACCGGTTTAACCAGTTGCCCATTCTTTTGTATTTCTTATCGTAATGTCACACTTGTATCTCACGATTGCAGCTCATCATCTTGGCCAATGGAGGTCCCGAGGGTCTGGTCCACATCATGAGAACCTATAACTACGAGAAGCTGCTGTGGACCACGAGCAGAGTCCTCAAAGTGCTGTCTGTTTGCCCCAGTAACAAACCCGCCATAGTGGAGGCCGGTACGTACCCAGGCCATACAGAGCCACCTGTGTGCAGTAAGACAGGCGTGGCCGCTTGTCTTTCACCTGGACAGCTGTGGATTAGCTCAGGGATCAGAGGGAACAGTTCATCAGTTGTTCTGGATCTGTCGCAGGTGGGATGCAGGCCTTGGGGAAACACCTCACTGGTGGGACTCAACGTTTGCAGCAGAATTGTCTGTGGACCCTCAGAAACCTTTCGGACGCCGCAACAAAACAGGTACAATGCACTCCACTTGTGTTGAATTAACCTCTGTCTCTGTCCCTTTTATGAAGTACACAACATGGTTGATGATGATTATGACATCTATAAGTTTATTCTGTCAATATTTTTGGGAATGGGGTAGAACTTGCAAATTCCACACAGAAATCCAGGACAGTCTGTCTTTGAGGCATAAGCACTAACCAATACACTGTGGCATTATATCACTTTTAGTTAAAATATCTATGATCAAATGCACCGAGCTGCTGTTATGTTAGGGGGAGTATGTGTTTGCTAAATAGTTACATCAAATTCAAAGTCTCTCTATTAACTGCGCCACAATTTCCCCACATGAAAGGTGATATTCAGCAGCCTGATCTAAGAACCAAAATATATCAGTGCGACACTGTAGAATACTTAGTATTGCAAAATGGGGATAATCTGAGAAATTTGAGTTCTTGTGAATCCATGACACCATTGCTCAAACATGCGTTAATAATTTAACGATTACGATTATATGCGTTAACGATTTGTAATGTGTAAATGAGAATAATATTGTGGTGCTCCTAAAGCGACCCAACGTTTATAATCCTGTAATCTTAATTCTCTTGAACAGGAGGGCATGGACAGTCTCCTGCAGACGCTGGTTGGCCTCCTCAGCTCCGATGACATCAACATGCTGACCTGTGCCACCGGCATCCTCTCCAACCTCACCTGCAACAACGCCTACAACAAGAGCCTGGTAACCCAGAGCAACGGTGTGGAGGCTCTGATCCACGCCATCCTGAGGGCCAGCGAGAAGGAGGACGTCACCGAGCCCGCTGTGTGCGCACTGCGTCACCTGACCTCCCGGCACCAGCAGGCTGAGCTGGCACAGAACGCAGTCCGCAGACACTACGGCATCCCCGCCATCGTCAAACTGCTCAACCAGCCCTACTACTGGCCCGTCATCAAGGTACAGCAAGAAGACAAGCGGCTTTAGCGTTGTTCTTTGCTCGTCTAGTCGTGTAGACTGTTGATGGCGTCATAATAGTCGACCATTTAAACATGAGCGAACTGCAAGTACAATTCAAAACAATTTTAATCAATTAGTTATCTCAGAGGACTTAACAAAACCGTTGAATTCGCCAACACAGATCAGAGACTCAAACAGTTCCTACACAAGAAATGCAACAATAAAAAAAAAAACACAAAGCCATTGGTCCATAAGGTGCTGATGTTAATAAATGTTCATAAATGTTGTTGAATGTCGAGTGTCCTGGCTCATCTCCACTAGATGTTGAAAAGAATATTGGCAAAATATTTCCCATGAGGCAGAAAAGTAGTTAAAGTGGACCAATCATTTATAACTGGAATAGTTTTGAAAGCTTTTGTCATGGCCCCTTTTTAGTCAATTCAGGCATTTCTTTGGTCGATTACAGCAGTTCTGGGAATGAAGTCTCTCCCTTTGAATAGAAGGTTCTATGAGTCACTTTTGTTTATTTTGAGTCATTTGTATTATCTTAGAACAAATGCATTCCCCATTCCATATTCTTCTGAACACCAAGGGCCCATACACACCAAGGTGTGTATGGGCCCTACCCAAAAATGTATTCTAGGGACTTTTGCCACCATGACTGCCTTTTGGCCATAACTATTGCTTACTCTGTTTACAAATATCAAATTCTAGGGTGGAAAATATGGATGCAGCTGTTGTCACACAACAGGACGTTTTTTTTATTTATTGATGTATTTAATTTTTGATAAGTGGGAGACATAATAATTTCCAATTCCCTTTTCACAAACTCCTGGGGTCGCTGTGGTGGCTTCAGGGCACTGCTGAAGTGACTGCTGGAATGTGCATGTTGTCTCTTCAGATTAGACTTGTTTTTTCTTCTGTATCAGATAATTGGTAGAACAACATGTCACTGTAATTACATCGTTATCGTACAGTGAGAGTGTGAAAAAACAGCCTTATCCATTGTGAAGAAATGTCATTGTTGATTACTGCTCATGAAAAGTGGAACATGTCACAGAATAAGATTTGACCTTAAGTTGAGTTTGGAATGAATTGTTTTTTTAAATATATTCTGAGTGAAAGAAATGCAGTTACTCCAGTATATTGTGGTTTTTAATTAACCATTTCCAACTATTGAAGCCGTAACATCCAGTACTTGAATTCTGATATCTTTCTACAATTACTACAGTATTTCATGTTATTACTACATAATTAGGAGGGGTAAATATTGGACATTTGGTGAACAAGATGCTTTGATGTGAACATGAAAAAACCAGTGTGTGTTTCCCCCCTCTTCCATCTGTAGGCAGCAGTTGGCTTGATCCGTAACCTGGCCCTGTGCCAGGAGAACCAGGCCCCGCTCAGAGACTCTGGCGCGGTCCCTCGCCTGGTGAACCTGCTGCTCAAGGCCCACCAGGACGCCCAGAAGCACAACTCCTCCAGCGCACAGACCTATCAGGTACACGACGCCTTCATGCATCACAAACCACAAGTCAGAGCTGTGAGGAGAGAAGCCCCAGCTCCCGCCTCGCTCAAAGCCTATACTTACATTTATGAGTTAAACGGTATTTTTAATTTCCTTAAGTCAACTCTCAAATGTTATGAGATGCTAATCCGTGGTATGGCATAGGGATTAATGATATACAAAGAGAAATCTCAAGTGGAATCTATGTATTATTGTACTGTTTTAACGTATATGTGTTTGTTCTATGTATTCATATATATGTAGATTTCCAAAAAACCAAAACGTTTATGAATAGTAAGGGAGGCACTTTGAAGATCATGGGCCGTATTCCTAAAGATTCTGAGAGTCCTCTCAGAGAGCTCTTATCTTAACCTAAAAACTCCTAGCTAGGAGTCTTAGCTTAAAAGTTATTCCAGAACACTCTTAGAGAACTCTGAGCAAGGAATTGACAACAACTTTTATCTTAGTGAGGAGGCGTGGCCGACCCCGTTGCTAGGTATGAGTCATCATTTCAGACGCTGTAATTGGTTGATCCTAAAAGTTAGAACAAACATATTTTTGATGATAATAGGCAAAATAAGGGCCCTAAAATGGACAAACTCAATCATGGAATCTAATCTTAGGAACACTGTGTTATTGTAAATAATAACCAAAAGCTATAAAGTCAGATATATCAATGGTACATAAATACTGTGAATAGTAAAGTTAGACTTATACACCATCATCAGAGCTTGCTCAGCACCAATTTATCACACATAATACGTATATATCATGAGCACTTATAATTTTATATATATATATATAAAATTATTATATATATATAATTTAAATATTACTCTATATATAATATACATGATAAAGAAAATTATTATTATAAATATTATATGGATAAATGATGATAATGATAACGTTAGGATTAGTAAAGGCTGTGATATTTATAGACTTATAAGGAAGTAAGGAAACAATATTAATATAAACATATTATACATACACTGTACAAATCAAGTACAAGGGAGCTTAAAAGTCTTATCCTCTCCCACTCCTTTTTGAGCTGGATTGTTGTTAATAAAACAAAACTGTATATTTGTACTTCTATTCTGTTGTTGTTTTGTTTGTTTTGTCCTTTTTTTCTTGTTTGCCATGGCTCAAAATAAAGTATTCATTCATTCGTACTGAATGTGTGACAATTTAGGACCACTTTTTCCTCTCTTTCAACTTTTACCATTTCTACTTACTTTTGTGTAACAAAGGTAAAATGGATGAGGTCTTATTGCTGACCAGCCAATGAGAAGCTGGTCACATGATTGACTTTTAAATATACCACAAACATGATTCCTGCTTGAATCTGTAGCGTTTCACTGATTCACTGTCATCCAGTGTATAGAATATTTCTCCTGTCTCCACCGTCCACCATTTTGTGCTCTTAGGGAACTTTTAAGTCGCTAAAAGTCCTCCTCTCAACTCTTAAGGGATCTCCCCTTAAGAGCACTCTTAAGAGCTAGGATTTTTTAGGAATAGCTTTTATCTTAACTAGGAGCTACTCCTCACTTTTAGGGGAAATTCTAAGAGTTGGTCAAGATTCTAAGAAAATTCTTAGAATTTGGCCACTAGGAGCAACTTTTAGCAGTAAGAATCTTTAGGAATACGGCCCCATATCTTTTCAGTGAATATTTGGCTCACTTTGATTATTGTTGCAGGATGGAGTGAGAATGGAGGAGATTGTGGAGGGCTGCACTGGAGCTCTGCACATTCTGGCCAGAGACCCAGTCAACAGGGCAGAGATCGCCAACCTGCAGGCCATCCCTCTGTTCGTCCAGGTAAATTCAAAAACCATCTAGGAGTCATTTGTAATTCTTCACACTTCTGATTGGGTGCGTTAATGTCCGGCGAGGCTTCAACTGCACCATTCACATAAACTAACCCATGCATGTTATTGACTGGGTAATCATGATAAACGGAAATGTGTCCAAACGTCCACACTATTCCTGCTCAGGGGAATCTTTAGTCACAACAGCAGGCAGCGACAAGCCTTTAACTGAGAACAGAGTGATCAGACAGAACAGATGTGATTTTCTGCTTGCATTGTGCCTGTTACCGGGAACAATAAGCAGAGTGGCGTCCAATATTTTTTTTTTTTTTTTTTTTTTTTCTCGACTGGATCTTGGAAGAACACCTGGTTTATATTTTACAAGAGGTCACAGATGTTTTCACCTATGACTTTACCGGGAAGATAAAATGTTCACACCAAGCAAATTATTTCAAGAATTTTCGACTTCATGACCAGATTTTTCTGATTGAAAAGTGCATGACAATAACCCATACGTGTCAAATACTACATGCATTTTTATATTAGTTTTTTTTATACAGGTTTTGCATTCATAATCACAATAATTATTTAGATTTAAACACAGAATCAGAAAAAAACACAATAAATCCAATTAACCAAAATGTAAGTTCAGACTTTTTTCAACTTCTGTACAATCCTGTTTCTTTGCAGCTGCTGTATTCTCCAGAGGACAACGTGAAGCGGGTGGCGGCCGGCGTCCTGTGTGAACTGGCTCTGGACAAAACCTCGGCTGAGATCATCGACAGTGAAGGCGCCTCCGCTCCGCTCATGGAGCTGCTGCACTCCAACAACGAGGGCATCGGTGAGAATCACAGCTGCTTCCATTCATTTATGTGTTCGGACTATTCAGATCGTCTCGATAGAAATGTTAGATTCAAGCCAAAGAAAATACAAGGGAAAATGGATGATTATTATTAGTGGAACAGGCTTGAAATGGATGAACTTCTATTCTCTGTAGAAATGTTAGATTCAAGAACATCTTCCCAGTATTTTCTCATAGATCCACTAAATCTGAAATCGCACACACAAATGTTGAATGCTTCTCAACAACAAAGTCTTTTTGTTTTTAATGATTATTTCTTCCTTGTGCGAGTCGTACCTGTGTTACATATTCCTCATAATTTCAGGTATTGAGGGAAGTAGATTACCATAATAATAAGTTCATCATGATTATTTGATGTTGTGTAGTTGGTTTTAGAACCAAAAAGCCAACAGAAATGTAAAATATTAGAAAAATAATGAATATAGTGATTCTGAGGGACATTTGCTGATCTGACTCGAAGGAATAAATACTAAGAATAACATGAAACTATGGATTTCCCCGAATATTGTGTTGAATTTTCTCACAATACTCATAACCGTATCATTTCATATCGTGATCCTGTTTCCCTGATATTAAAGTTAAAAGAGCACTGAAACATAATGCATGTGAACATTTATAGCTTTGTTCATGGGGGAAAAGGCGGCAAATAGTTATTTCCTGATATGAAGGTTTTATGATTACCTTTCCCCTTTTGAAATATTTCATTCTGATCTGAAAAGATTTTTTATTTGATGTTTTTTATTTTATATGGACTCTCAATCCAGTTGTCTTGCTGCAATTAAATCATCTCTGGGTCTCTGGGTGGAAACTAGCATTTTTGATCACACCTGGCACATGACCTTTTCTTTTAATTCGACTATTTATTTGATCAGCAACAACTTATCATAGACATTAGTCAAATTGAATTGCTTGTTGGACATACTTTCCGAATAACATATGTTTGCTATAAAAAAAAACGTGCCATATGTTTTTACCAAATGTGTACAGTTAGTCACATAGTTGGATGATTGTGATTCCAAGTCTCCCTCCACCAACTGTGGCCCACTCTGTTACGACATGTTTAAATGATGTTTCTTCTTTCAGCCACTTATGCTGCTGCCGTGCTCTTCCGCATCTCTGAAGACAAAAACTCTGATTACAAGAAGCGCGTGTCTGTGGAGCTCACGCACTCGCTGTTCAAGCACGACCCCAGCGCCTGGGAGCAGGTGAGCGCGGCCACAGTACATTATTTATTGAACTGAACTCTTATTAGACTGTTCTGAATGACGTCCGTGGTAACGCTAAAGCTGGGGTACCTTACTCTCTTACGTCGTGTTTGTCCCAACAGAGAAATCATAAATCCTGGCTTCCGCTTTATCTTATTAGAAAACACAAACATTTGCAAACTTATAAAAACCCTGTGAGTCACTATTTGATGTTTTGGGGGAGGGTGGTTCTCTTTTTTTACACCTTTCAGCCTAAAGATGTGATAAAGGCCTAAAATACATGAATGTGATTGGACCAAGCTGTTTGAGGAAGTAGCTGGATAATCTGTTTTAATGTGTTTATATTAGGTACCGCAGCTTCAGAAACACTTGTTGATCTAATATAGTTTACACGTACATTAGTTTAATACATTTTAGCTTTTGATATTTTGTACTTTGTCATCTGAGTCATCACTTCTTGCCTTTTTAGATAAATACAGATGTGCATGTATATTTTGTATTAGTAGTTGGCATATAAACGTATATATATAGGATTAAAAGTATTGGGTTCTTCTTTATTCCCCACTGTGGGACGAATAAAGGAATTCTTATCTTATACCAGACAATATAAGGTTAAGTAATAAGTAACCTAACAAAATAGGATTAATATCTACATAACACACAGTAAATAAATAACCTATTAAAACAAGTAACCAATTGACAAAACCAAAAGTGTAACCTAAACTAAACAAGTAACTGAACTAAGGTACCGGCACAAGTGACAGAACACAGACAAAACTAATGGCGAACTGGAGTCCACTGACTCCAGCTGCCCTGAGCCGCGCATGATTGGCAGTTTATAAGGGCGGGTCCTCCAGGTGAGCGCACGCTGATTAGAGGCCTGCCTCACCTGCTGCCCAATCAGCACCCAGGCATCGCGGCCAATCAGCTCCAGGTGGGGAATGACTGGCCAATAGGAGCCCAGGACTCACAAGCGTGGTCTTCTGAAAAAAGGGAGGAAACACAACCACACAGAGACACCACGGGAGAAACTAAAGTGATCCCCAAAATAGGGAATTACGGGCCGTGGGCCGTAACAGTCTGGTATAGAAGAACCCAATATTTTTCATTCTACTAAGAAGACTAGATGAATCTTCCTAAAGTATAAATATAGGGTTCCTAATATGTAAAACAAAGATATGAGATGGTCACTTTCAAAGCACAGAAATTTGCGTCATAAACATTCACAAACTGTTGAGTGTCTTTCATTTGGCGTCGATTTCAAATGATGTAACAAGTTTTATAGATGTTGCGATACTATTAAAACCAAGAACAAGACGTTTCCGTTGAGTCTCCAGCCGAATGCAGCGGTGCCATAACATAACGCTGTCATAAAGTCCTGCCCGGCTGTGATTGTTGTGACATGTCCTGACTGTCCTGTCCTCTGCCCCCCGCAGGCTCACAACTCTGCTCCCATGGAGGAACTGTATCCAGACGGTGAGTAGCTGCTGATATACTGCGCACCTCAGCAAATTCCTCGGCACTCAGTCACTCTGCGCCGCAGCAGGGAGTGACGGGAACACGCCGTCATCTGCTCCAATCACCTCTGACGCCACGCACACCTTTCTGTTGATGTTCCAGTGAAAGACGACGTGTTTTACTTTGTTGTTTTGATTGGTACTTGCCTGTGTGGGCGGGTACCTGTGATAGAGATGCCCCAATGAGGTAGATAACCGTTCCAAGCCTATCAAGCATAAAGTGACTCAAAAATGGATCCACCCATTTGTTGAGCAAACTATTAAACTACAAACCGTAGAACATACACTCAGTCAAGTAGTCGAACCTTTCTGGCTATTCACTAAAAGCCTTTTTCCTTCGCTTCCTCGTTTAAATTTACCCGTCGATTGTAGTGGTTCTTTTGCCCCCCCCCATAGTCACCTCTTTGTTAGGGTCACATATGGTTCTCCGCTGGCTTAGGTCACTCTCTAGATATGTTCAATAACCCTAAAGTGGTGCTATTTTCCTCACATTTGAGCATGTGGTATCAGTAATAGGTCCTTCAGATGTGATTTCATATTGTGATGTCTGCAGGAGACTGGATTAAATGTGGCTGGTTTTTTACAGTGACAGTGGTCGTTAAAAGTGACAATTATATTTGGAGCGATACACATATTTCTATAATTTTCTATAGCTTTGATCACTACACACCATACACCTTCAGCAGTTCAGGGCCTGTACTCTGCGTGGATTTATCTGTGGATCATCATCTCTCTGAATACCTCTTTTCCACCACTTAATTTTTCTCCTTTTATGGCTTTGGTATTTTCTCTCTCGTTTTGAGTAGAGACGCCTCAGGCCACAGGGATCAACAGCTTACTTCACCAAGACATTTAATATGTATCATTTTCAAACACCGTAAACCTAGTGTGTAATTACATTTTATGGTGTGATCGAAAAAACACGGACGTCCTGAGGCTGTTTTCCAGTTTGTCCTGATACAGAACGTCCAAGAGTCTGGACTCTGATTTGTGACTCAATCGTAAAGTGCATGACAGGGACTGAACTACTTCCTGATTGTAAAATGATGATTCCTTGTGATGCCCAGGAAAGACATGTATATAATGTAATGTAAACGTTATTATTTCACAGATATAAAATATAATATTTTTATTTTAGCTTTTAAAATTTGAACTTTTCATCACGCACTTTAAACCATGTTTTTTGAGCAGGACATAATACATATATTTACACTAGCAACTGTGTGGTAGAAAATTTGAATAATCTATGTCTAATCAACCAATGTATTTCTCATAACAGAGATGGATGCAGGTTTCCAAGGTTACGGATACCCCGGTGACATTCCCATGGACAGTATGGACGGCAACATGATGTGTGATGAATACGGCAACGCTGTGCTGGGCTACCACGACTCCTACTCAGGCCAGCCACAGGGGCTTTAAGTCCTTAAAGAGGTATTACATTTAAGGCCTTAAAAAGTTTTAAATTCCACAACATTTGACCAATATGTAGCTTTAGATGTAGTGGTTGGTCACTTTGCGTGTTCTCTAAAGTGTGGATCATCAAACTAATATCATCAGAGTGTTACTTACACACTCCTGAACTGCCTCTAATCTGGCAAACCCCAAAGATGTATTTTTACTTGACCTTTTTAAATTTGTGCTTGTATAAAAAATGAGCTTGAATTTAATTGAATCTCTAATCTAATTTTTTATGTTGTACTTTCAGACCTGGAGGAAGAAATCGTCCGACGAGCTGATAAACTGGGACAAAAGAGAATTTATGTGTGTGTAGAGATGCCCACTGCTCTCTGCTTATTGTAATATATGCAATTATCTCCAAGTGCGGGAACCTTAACAGGGCTGCGTGTTCCAGCCTCACTTTGCTGATTTTAAGGGCAGTAATGCTTGTAGGTGGAGAGCCTTTTACGAGTGCATGTGTAATGTATGTGTGACAATGCTTTTGGGTGGGTGTTCTAAGCCAAAGAGATTTTATTTTGTAACCTACAATAATCGCGTTAATAGTAACTTCCTTCTTTTTTTTACACGAAACAAAGAATTGGTTGAACAAGACGCTGCCAGAGGTGGTGCGTTGTTTGTTTTCCTTCAGTGCTTTTGTAACACTGCCGTCTATCATGTAGCTTTGACACTAGTTTGGGACAGATCAGTAGATTTAAATATATATCATTCTAAAATTAGGGCCAAACCAGTGCGTTCACTCTTCAGATGCCAGGATTTTAAACCGGTATGGATTTGATTCAATTGAAATGGACTGCAGCAATAATGAAAAACTGGTTTGGCCTTATACCACAAACACTACTGACTGGAAAATTTGTCTTTCTACCTAATAGTTTTTACTGAAATTTGGTTAATAAAATAAAGGTTATACAAAGCAGTCTGTGTGCAATTCTTTTATTGTAATTTGCATATTTGATTCCATGATATTATCTTCTATACAAAATATATGGCCACTTTAGAGATCCATCCACATCATGCAGAAACAGATGTTATTGAAAAGGTTATTGCTGTAGTATAATAAACTGCATGCGCTACAATTGTTCAAAGGAAATTATAATGCTCAACTGTTTAAAGCTGGGGTACGTGCATTTCAAACCTATTTAAAACTTACTTTTAGTAAGTAACAAGGGAGACCACCCTCTCAGCCAATCAAATGACTCGCAAAGGCTCCTTAACATTTCAAATAAGATAAAAACCATGTTGTGATTTGACTTCACATTCAACTTTTACAAGATAAACGTGTATCAGGTGTAAAAACTTGGTATCCCAGCTTTAAACTGTACTTTCCAAGCCCCACTTTTTGCCCAAGAGCGCCCTCTTCTGTTGATCTTGTTCCTAAGCTCAGATCACGTTGTCAAACATTACCATCGACTGCATTATGTTCTCATCCTAAAAGGGAAATGAAAAAAGATTGATTTGAGGATTCATTGATCAGTTTTAGAATTCAAATAAAGACCTGTTGGCATGTGTCTAAAAACTCATCAATGGTCACTACTCCGTCTTTGTTCTTGTCCATTTTCTGCAAAACATTCAGAGATTTACAATGGTTGGTGTTCTACAAAATGATTAAAGGCAAATTTCAGACAAGTATTATACATATAAAGGTAACAAAATGTGAGCCATTCATCAGGAAAAACTAAAGTCCAGTAACTAGCTTACATTAGCAGCAGTGACAGTATCAATGATTTCCCCTCAATTTCTTAATATGCAAAGCTGCAAAAAGTGGTGAAAAATAAGTCAAAAGTTGTTTAAATTCATGTTAATTTGGGCACATTTTGACTGCCTTAAAACAAGATTTGCCAATGGGACAAGCAAATGCTATTGTTTAAAATAAAAAAACAAATGCAACAAATGTCTCCCTTGCAATGGGAAAATTCAAGCAACTATGACCTCTTTTTTTTTTACAGTGTGTGAGTTAGGGTTCATTTAGATTTGTTTTTGTCTGTTTAAGTTATTTCGTAAAAAGGAGGAAATGGAGTTCAAACACAAGAAATCCAATAATAACAAATGCATAATAATTTATTTATCTCCAACACAAGGGGAGGATAGTGGGGAAAAAGGGCTTCAAAAATAAAAAGTGTATTACCATATTTGTATTATGAAAAAAATGTAAACATGCAAACTAAACTAACAAAAAAATAGAACCATGACTCTCTTGCAGTTTATCATCCTCAAAACAGGTTCTTTTACCATCTGAAGCTCCCTCTGCGGAGCTCAGCTGTGTGGATTGCGGTTCAGTCACCTTAATATGACCTTAATATATACAGTCTATGGTCACCTTAAAGAAGCTGTCGACGTGCTCTGAGGCGTCGCTGTCCCGGACACAGGGGAGCGTGTGTTTCCCCATCATGTCGTAGATGGAGTTCATGATGTCCGTCATCTCCTACACACAGGGAGGTTTTCATTATTTTACCTGATTTAAAAAAAAAAATTCAACGGTTTTCATTCTGCTCAAAAGGAGTGGGCAGAAGCAAGAACCTCCAAACACTAAACAAGCAAACTGTTCAGATCACAATGAAAGAGAAGAGAACAAGGACATAATAGCGCACACACAAACTACACACACACAAACTACACACACACACACACATATTGGATTTTGGAATAATCAACAGTCAACAAATTTACAGAATAAGGAATAGCTCATACAATTAGCAATCTATGTGTCTGTGTCTGTCTGTGAGTGTGTGTATGTATGTGTGTGTCTCTGTGCGTGTGTGTCTGTGTGCGTATGCGTGCGTGCGTGTGTGTCTATGTGTGTATGTGTCTATTTGTGTGTGTGTGTCTATGTATGTCTATGTGTGTGTGTCTGTGTATGTCTATGTGTGTGTGTGTGTGTGTGTGTGTGTGTGTGTGTGTATGTGTGTGTGTGTGTGTGTGTGTGTGTTTACCTCTCTGGTGATGCAGCCGTCCTTGTTGATGTCGTACAGGTTAAAGGCCCAGCTCAGTTTGTCTTCAGCGGAGCCTCTTAAGATGATGGACAAACTGACCACAAAGTCCTGGACACACAACAATACACAACTTTGAAGTTATTAAGACACAAAGTTATTAAGATACAAACAACTAAATACAGAAATATAAATATACCTCAAAGTTCACTGATCCGTTGTTCTGGGTGTCAAAGGCGTCAAACAGGAAGTGTGCATAGGTGCTGGAGTCTGCAAGAAAACAAGAACTTTTATATTTCATTAATTAATATTTCAGTTATGTATCATTTATGTGTCCTTTTTGTATCAAGTTCAGAAAAAGACAGGGAGATGAGGACACTGTGTAGAAGGAGAAGCTGAGGCTAAAGTTCGAGGAGATTTGATAATATTAGGAACATTACTTTTACAGGGTTCAGACTTTGATGCAGTGTTATATTTCCGTGAGGCTGGTCATAACTGGATCACACAAACAAGATAAAAGCTTGGATTGAGATATTGTCCAGATAAAGCAGTTGTGTGATCGTTAGAGTTGGGGAAACCTGCCTTTGTGTGATGTTGATGTGACAATGTGTTAAAAGACTTTCAGGGACGGACTCTGCAAATTAGCCTTGGGCATAAATGTTGTAGTGGTTCACATGTTGATTATGTACGTTTGTCCCATAGACTGTATATCAAGTGTGAGTGGATGTGTTGCAGAGTGACTGACCTCCCTGTGGGAAGAACTGAGAGTAAATGTTCTTGAACGTCTCCTCGTCCACCACTCCACTGGGACACTCCTGAGGAAGACACACACGTTCTCCAAGAGCTCAGATAAGTCTAATATCTCATAAATACATTGTGGTCAAATGTGGAAAGTACATTTTTGAAGCCTCTGTAGAGGATCTGAAGCTCTTTTTTGCTGAAGTTTGTCTGTTGGACGAGTCTGTCGAGTCCCTCTGGTCTGTGCCACACTGTGGACACCTCTCCCTCCTCGGCCACGCTCCCTGCACCAGATCAGTTACATCATGAAAGCATTGTGGAAAAGATGAAAATAAAAATTATTATTCAAAGAAACTTGTAATATATACTTTTTTACTACCAGTGTGTGGCCTTCATCATCACTGCTGTCAGATTGTACAATAAGAAGTAGTCTTTATTTATATACTGCCTTTTCACTGCAGATCTGAGTCTCAAAGTGGTTTACAATTGTTATTTTTGGGCATTTGTCTCTCACTCCGCACAGAGATGGGAGCAGGGGCGCCAGTACAGGAGGCTCATGCCAGAACTATTGTGCATGTTTTTAGTGGTAGGGGAGTACCTGGAGGAAACCTACGCAGACACGGGGAGAACATGCAAACTCCACTCAGAATGGCCCTGTTCCTACCAGGATTCAAACCCAGGACCTTCTTGCTGAGAGGCGAGAGTGTTATCCACTCAGCCACCGTGCCAACAACCTGCACTAAGACTGCAAACTTGCACTGATATAGTCACTTTCTAGTTATACTAAAAATACCTTTATTACTCATAAGAAACTCTGTATTCTTTCACTTGATCCTATTCATGCCAAGTGTGAATTTCTCCATAAAGTCTTGTTTTATCTTATCTTATGCATCAATGTGATAGAGGAGGAGCGTATAGTTGTCTGAACATAATAGAAATTTACTATGGTGGGAAAAAATACAGTTATATCGTAAATCGCTACAGGGTCCAAGTGGGAGCCCCCTCACGGAGCCTCGGCACCTTCCTGTCTTCAGCTCGAGCTCGCTTCACATCAGTGCCATCGTCTACTTCACCAATATGTGAATGTGCACATCTGGAATAATGTCTGTATGATAAAATGCTGGAGTCACTTGCTCTGTGTGAGGGAGGCTCTGGAGCTGCTGTGGAAGCACGGCAGCAGCTTCAGGAATCTTTGTTTCAGTGTCTTCTTGTTTGGTTTTGGACACGGGTTACCTGAAGGCAAACACAAAGATCAAAAAGGTTTGTGCAGAGAGAGAGGAGAAGCAAAAAGACTGGTGTAAAACCGCACAATCAATCAATCATTTATTTGTATAGCACGATTCGTATACAAGGCAGTTAAAGGGATTCACAAGAGCAATTTAAAAACACAGATTAAAATGTGGCTTTAAAGGGAGATAAAAGAAATGAATTGTGCAAAATAGAATCAGTTGTAAGCACAGCTAAACAGACGTGTTTTTTAACCTAGGTTTGAACATAGTCAGGGTAGAGGCTTGTCTCACAGCCTCAGGAAGAGGTTCCATATCCCAGCTGCATAGATCACAAATTTGTCAAATTCAAGTCAGCTTTTAGTCCAGGATTATAGCACATTTAGCACCTGTTGGTTGTGTAAAGTAAAGCAGTTTGCCAAAAAATTTACCATATTGTGGAGTTATCTAACGAGTAAGACATTGTTTCGGGGCAAGAAATAAAAAAAAGGTTCTTAACATAATCTAATTACATCTATTTTTGTTTTTCACTTTTGACCTCATGGTTCTCGTCTGAATAACCATACAATCTTTTTTCTTCTGGAAGGAAATCCCAAGACGTCCTGGAGGCACAGAACGGAACCGAGGCCAGAACTAACTATAATCAATTAGTTCCTCTCAATGTGGAGGTGCAGCGGCTCTACTCCAAGCTCCTCACCTTATCTCTAATGGAGCGTCACTGTGTGAGATAAACTAATGCCAACTTTGCCAATACTTTGACTCATGACCAAAGGAGAGGATGGAAACGGTAAATCGAGAGCTTTCCTGTTTGACTCAGCTCCCTCTTCACAACAGTCGGATACAGCTCTGAATGCAGACGCTGCTCCCTCGTCACCACAACAGTTCGAAACAAAATTCCCAGAGAGGTGCAAACAGCTTACATGTTTTTTGGGGGGGGTTTCACTTCTGTATTATTATTATTATTTTTATTATATACATTTGTATACATTTGTGTATTCTTTTTCAATGTAATCTTTTTTGTTATGTTTTTGAATTATAAAGTTTTGACCAATCAAACTCTAAAGGCAAAACTCAGAAAACATATTAACAAAAAAGTGTCAAAGGAGCGTGTTTGTCCATAAACATCATCTTGTTCTGTTATGATTCTTTTTATTTTGATTCATATTTTCTCCATAACCGTTTTGGCCACTAGAGAGAACTGTTGAGCTACAAACATGCTCACAGAACTTTAGCAGCAAAACAAAAATCTTAATCATAAATTCAACTTTGCTTGTTTCAGAATCAGATGTATTGCATTCTGTCACTAACTCCAAACACAAGGATTTACAAGTCCATCATCAAGCACAAGCCAAGTCTCAATTTCAAACATACAAAGAGAGGTCAGTGACACACAATACATATTTGGGAGATGTCAATCAGAACCAGCAGCTGCAGGTCTGTGGAAAAACAAACAGGGATGTGCCGCTTCAGAACACCAGGGATTAAACTAATGCCACATGATGATGATCCACTACAGAAAGGTGAAGCTTACATCAGAGCAAAACGACCCCAGAGCACCTTTCCCGTCTCACAGAGCTGACCAGACACTGTCCACACACACTAGAGTAAGACCTTAGAGTATGTAGTCGTAAGTAATCTTTTTGTATATATAGCGCCTTTCGCAGACACAGGGAGAACATGTATACTCCACTCAGAAAGGCCCTGTTCTGTTCCGACCGGGATTTGAACCCAGGACCGCTCAGCCACCGTTCTGCCCAGTGTTATGTACTGACATTTCTGCTTTTCAAGAGACTTCACTGCCTGCTTTCTACTCAGATGTGAAACTCTACTTCCAAAGGGAAAAGTGGGAGCAGGAAGTGGTGAAAAATTCTGTTTCTGGTTTTCATTTGATTCAGATTCATTTATTTGCCATTTGCAGTGAAACCACATTGGAATACATTAACAAAAGTCCCCAGTGCGCGCAAGACAAGTACATACATAATTGCACCAAATAAAAAAAATAGGGCAGTTTGTTCTGTAAACTGTTTTGCCAGAGGCTTCGATTTATTTTTTTGGGACTTTACTCATGAGATTTGACTGATAGAAAATTGTATTCTGAAACAAATTTGCAGATTCAACAGCAAAAGGATAGACAAGCCACTGCAGAAAGCCTCATCCACGCTTTGATTACCACCAGAGTTGACTATTGGGAAAGCCTCGGGTTTGTGTTTTGTCTAATGTGTTTTAATACAGTTGTAAATATATTTAGTCCTTGGAAAAGTAAAAGTAACAAATGTAGAATGAATGAAATGCAGTGAATGGTAAAGTGTTGTGTGGTTTCTCTGTAACCAGGGACTGCAGATGGAAACTAGTATCTGGCTATAATCTGGTGCAGAACATGTCCGTCTCTATATGTCTCTGTATTTTGTCCCTTCAACAAAAATGATCTAAAACTAATCAAAAGCCTTGTCTATGATCTCCTTTCTGCTCATCTCCAAAAACAGAATGATGTCCTAAACTCTGCGCTTGCTCACCCACACCTGCTCCAGAGACCACATCACCCCCGTCCTCAAACAACTCCACTGCCTGAACTGAATGATTTATTTTAGCTTTTTATTTTGGTTTCTTGTTAGCCTGTCCCGTTCTTAAGCGCTGTTGAGAGTCCAAAAAAACGCTGTATGATGTTTTATTTATATTATTATTATTGTTATTAACTCATTGACTGCCATTGACATATTTGTCTGAGACCGGTGATTTCTGTCAAACTTCCCTCTATTCGACCGAGGATTATAGGAGAACAAAACTAGCTAGAAACCAACTTATTTTTGTTGATGAAAGTAGACAGTCCAGTCTTTCAGAATCTGGTTTCATATTTCTCATGGTCATAGCACATAATATTCTGTGGGACGTTCAAATCAGTGAAATCATCAAAAACAGCTGGTAGTCAATGAATGAATGAATGAACTGACATGTCTGTGTGTGTCTGTGTAGGTCTGTGTGTGTGTCTGTGTGTGTCTGTGAAGGTCTGTGTAGGTGTCTGTGTGTGTCTGTGTAGGTCTGTGTGTGTGTCTGTGTGTGTCTGTGTAGGTCTGTGTGTGTGTGTAGGTCTGTGTGTGTCTGTGTAGGTCTGTGTGTGTGTCTGTGTGTGTCTGTGTGTGTCTGTGTAGGTCTGTGTGTGTGTCTGTGTGTGTCTGTGTAGGTCTGTGTGTGTGTCTGTGTGTGTCTGTGTAGGTCGGTGTAGGTCTGTGTGTTTCTGTGTAGGTCTGTGTGTGTCTGTGTGTGTCTGTGTAGGTCGGTGTAGGTCTGTGTGTGTCTGTGTGTGTCTGTGTAGGTCGGTGTAGGTCTGTGTGTTTCTGTGTAGGTCTGTGTGTGTCTGTGTGTGTCTGTGTGTGTCTGTGTGCATGTCTGTGTGTGTCTGACTCTCTGATTAAACATAATGCTGTCTTTGTACTGTCTGATAATCCTTCAGAAAAGCACGATTCAGATTGAAAAAGCACAAACGATGTCCGGCAGGAGCATATTCAAATCTACATGCTGCAGCATCAGCACAATCTGCCGGGGATTATCTGCGGAATTTATCTTCTTCCCACAAAGATTTATTTGGAAGAACAACACTGGATTTTGGGCTTGGGAACAAAGAGATGAATGTGCAGATGAACACTCGACGTCAGATACAGCACCTGGACAGAACAGACCTCCAACATGCTGCTGGTTCTTATGGATTTCATCAGACTCATTTACTTCTGGTGTAAATGAGCTTCAACACTTTTCATTGACGATCCTGTGTTGTACAAATAAGGTGTAAAAGATGAACTGTGTAACGTCCAGGGTGAAACTCATCCTACGGAGAAACTGATCCATCTCCTTGGAGACGAGCCAGGTCTAATCTATGGAGTGGCTCGTAAGAGATTTGCCATTTTAAAGGTTTCACAACGCGTGATGTTTCTACTATGGAAGTGTACATTATTTCATTACATATACAAAACACAGCTTAAAAATAGCTAAAAATCTGAAAACTTTGCACATTCGACCTGCAGACAGCTTTGCCAACTTTGAAAAGGAAAAGCGGTTAGCACTTGTACTCAAAGCGAGAAGGTCCTTGGTTCGATTCCACCTGCAGACGGGGCACCCACTCAAACAATAATAATTTATATTAGAAAGTTATTAATAAAGTTATGTTTTTCAAATAATTTAATCAAGTAAAAAAGTTAAAGTCTGCTGTACACTTGTAAGAAAGACCCCTATCATTCACTGTATGACACCTGTGCTGGGAGCTGATTGGCTGATCGAGGGTGATCCTTTGTTTTTTACTTTTCTGTCAAAAAAAAAAAAAACATGTGAAAACTAGCAAATGAACTAAACTGTGTTTTTATGCATAGTTTCATTTTAGTTTTAAAGCAAGGATGGTGAGTGCAGCAGAGGGTACGAGTGGCAGAAGGCTTACCAACAGGTGCTCCTCAAAGACAGGGCAATCTCAGCAGTTATAGGATGTCAAAAGAAGCGAGTCTGTTGAAGTGAAAAAAACTGTAAAAGTCCTTTATCAAAATGGACTGCCTACGCGTTTCGACCAAAGGAGCTTTGTCTGGGCAATAATAAAGAACTTTTACAGTTTTTCACTTTAACAGAGTGCCTCAGACTTCCTTCTTTTGACATTCCATAGTTTAATTTTATTTTGGTTTGAAAGTTAGGTACCCCAGCTTTAATTAAAGACCTTATAAAGCCTTTATACCATGAAAAACCATATTCATGAGGACGAACAAGTATCAGTATGATGTGTCTTCAAAACAAAACAGAAGCAGAAATGTGTAAATATATGTATTTACAGCAGGTTAAAGTACTGTAAATATTCAACTCAATTCCATGTGTTTTTGTACAGACCTAAATCATAAAAGCCACGGTCATCTCAGAGGACAAACAACAGATCAGAGAAACAAACAGTTCAAATACAGGAAACGCGATAAAAACAAACACATAGAACATTATCACAGTACAGCACAAGAGGAGGAAGAATGACCAAAGCACCAGTTAAACCTGAACCTTGAAAATTATTGAACTAAACTGTTTTTTCAGCCTCATGTTTCACTCCTGGTATAAGAAAACCAGTATTTACCAGTTCAATATGTGCTGAACGATTTCATTCATATTTTTCTCATTTATCATATAGCATCAGCTTCTTCATTAAGAGGTTATTATAGTTTATGAATATTAACTTAAGATCTGAACGCCAAACATGTTTTTATAGAGTAAAGCTCCAGCAAACAGACTTTTACAGCGCACAGTTATTTATAGAGCTGCACTTCAATGACAGAGTAAAGAGAGACTTTTTGACAGCGGTTCTTGGAGATGCTGGAGACGCTCTGATCTATGAGAAGTGTGTGATTCAAATTAGATAAGGACAGCATAAAGACGTTTGTATTTATAGCACTTGCACAAACAAATGAGAGTGCAATAATTTGTGGTTTTCAGTGGAAGTAGAACTAATGGTGTTTGTGAGCGAGAAAATGGGAGAAAATGGAACTCAGCTCACATGTGATTTCCTGTATAATAAAATGTTATTCAGGATGTTTTTAACATTTTGTACAGTTCACGCTGAGCAGGACAAAGATACACATATTTCCAAATGGTTGTTCTCACTGTGCACCTTTAAACTGCTCCTGCTCACTTCAACTTTGTCATTTAGGTGCATTGACAGACTGTAAAAATAGCATTTATCCTATTCTCAATTTTGTACATCAAGGCAAGGCAAGTTTATTTGTATGGCACAATTCATACACAAAGCAACTCAAAGTGCTGAGGATAATAAGATAGCATCAAAATGAAGTATACATTCTTAAACAGTCCAAAAAGAACACTTATTGAGATTTAGATCGTTTAATGGGCAAGGCAAGTTTCTCTGTATAGCACAGTTCATACGAAATTTAACTCACTTTAATTTCTTTTTGTAACTATGAACTACTTAACAAAACGGGAAGGAAACCATCAAAATTATGGAGAAAAAAATCAAAGAGTGAAGATACAATCCTTCAGCTGCATGCACAGTTTTTTTTTTTAAGTTGGTAACGTTTAGATAGGTACTGTACTTTTCTAATATTTGGGTATCTAGATTTGAGAATACACACATTTTAATGCGTTTAATACATGTCTTAATTTAAAGCTTACAACAACAGCCATCCCAGAGTTGACACGCAGATACAGATGTAGATACAGATATATATAGATATAGATACAGATACAGTAACAGATGCTTTCAAACTATAACAAAGTTGAAAAGAGCGCACTGGACCTGTGAGCGGGTCGTGGGATCGATCCAACTCCAGAGAGTCCGACAAACTCTGCTCCTGACTTCTAGATTTCATGTCTCCGCTTCAGATCCACCTCCAGAGTTCACGGCTCATTTCAGGCTGATGCTTTCTCAGCAGTAAACTGTATTTCTCTCTGCAGCGGGAGCAGGTGATGACAGCAGGCGAGGGATCATCATCATAATGGGAGGAGGTTTTAGGCAGTGGAAATGAGGAGGGGGAGGAGAGAGGGAGGAGGGGGAGGAGAGAGGGAGGAGGGGGAAGAGAGAGAGAGGGAGGAGAGAGAGGGAGGAGAGAGAGGGAGGAGGGAGAGAGCCCACGGGACAGGGCCGGTTCCAGTGTCCAGAGGGCCTAAAACAAAGTTTGTTTCGAGGGCTCACTTCACTGCAACTTGTATTGAACTCATGATCGACCTAGAGTTTCATTGGTTGAGTAGAAATAAGTGAACCTTTATAAAAGTATAGAACCTTAATAAAGCAGATAATTATTTTATCAGCTCAATATTTTAGAAGAAATAAAGTACATATTGAATCAGTTATTCAATGGACATTAATATAAAAAAAAAACATTACATGGACATTCTGAGATTGCTGCACATCGGAGTCTCAAAGCGGTTTACAATTGTTATTTTTGGGAGTGGGGGTGCCGGTACAGGAGGCACAAATGAGCAACAATTGTTGCATTATTTATGAATAATATTGTAAGAAATAAGACGTTTATTTGTCAAATACAGAAAAGGGTCTGTGGGGTTTGCACCCTAAATAAGAAAAATAAATGTTTTTTTGTTTTAATGCTATCCAGATGTGTATTCATGTATTGTTGTTACATTTGACATACTTTGTTGGTCATTCTTGGGGCCCCCTTGCGACCTTGGGAGGTGCTGTCTCCTGATGAGGAGAGGGAGACGGAGAGACGCTGGTGATGAGTGAGTGATGCCCTCACCTTGGCTGCAGCAACATTGTCTTTTCAATGCCTTGATCGATCAGGTAGAAAAAAATCAAATAAAACAATGTAAGCTTAATTGGCCTTCTAGTTTTTTGCAAACCTAAAATGAAACGCCTGCAGTTCCAGAACAGTATAAACGTCAAGATTTAAATTCATTTATTTTATCTCGAATTGTAACTCTAGCAACTACTTATCACCAGTTTTTGGAGACTTGAGTTTGTCAAAATAGTAGGGGGAAAGAGGATCTATTTCAGCTTCTGTTCCTAACATCCCAACACCAGAGAGACAGAGGTTTACACACAAGGTTAATGTTTGTTTTTTTGGTAGAATTTGCTTTTAACTCTTTGACCTGGGCCAAATGTTCAACGGCGCCTTCCACAAGCTTCTGACATTAAATAGGTGGAATTTTGGCCCACTCCTCCTAATAGAGCAGAGTCAGTGTATATTGGTTCTGTCCACTCATGTTCAATCATTGAAGTCAGGGCTGTGATGGCTACTGCTACATCTTGACCGTCTGTCCTTGAGCGATGTTTGTGGCAGTTTGGAAGTGTGCTTTGGGTTATTGTCGATTTGGAACACCCATCTGCGACCATGCTATTACTTCCTCACTGATGTCCTGAGACGGTGTTTCAAAATATATTCTTTTTTTCATGATGCCATTGAAAAAAAGAATATATGCACCAGCCCCATTGCACAACATGATACCGCCCCCACACCCCGTGCTTCATGATTTTCCTTCTAAACATAATGGTCATCAACATTTGACCCAACAGTTGCTTCATCCAATCACAGAATACTTTATCCCTGTGTGCTTTCCTGTCTGCTTTGGCAAACTGAGGGTGGTTTTAAGGTTGTAGGGCAAGTACAAATCATAAAAACAAAAATATAGGAAGAAGAGGAAGCCAACCTTTATTCAAAAATACATAAATATACAGCCAAGTAGCCATGGAAGGAACAAGACATGAATTAAAATGTAGATTTGCATAATCGAGTCAAAGTGAAAAACAGTCAGGTTCATGAATATTGGGACATCGACAAAATTACTTAAAATATTTGTATATTTCTGACTAAACAATCCACCACAAAGTATTTTAAATGAAACGTACAAGCTCTGCCTTTTACAACAAAGCGTAAAAAGCCATGTAAATTTGAGTATGTATATCCAAATCAGGGAACGGTGTAGGAATTGGAACAGATTTGAATGGTGCCTACCACTATTGGAGGACTCAAAGTATGGGGACAGATGTGTGACTGTAAATTTCTCCATTGTGAGATCAATAAAGTTTATCTTATCTCCTTCACTTTCCCATTTTAGTATGAGCAGATTAAAGGTTTAACGGTGTGGAAAGGGGTTTCAAGTGTGTTATGTGCATTCGGAATCTGTTATTTCTAGTATATTTGAGCCAAAGACCTGTCACTATGCCCTATAAAATCATCTGCCTGAACATCAAAACTACCTCAGCAGGGAGATGGCGATACATTAGGTTAGTCAGTGGTTGGAATGAAAAAAACTGTACCTGTGAGCTCAGAAAAACAAAGAGAAAGAAAAGACCAGCTGCGGTGAAAGAATATTGTGAATAGAAGCCTCTTCACAAGAGTCGGTGAGTTCAAGAACACTCTCCAGGAGGCGTGTGTGTGTCAGGGTCAGACATCAAGAGAAGACTTCAGAGTAAATACAGACCGTTCTGAAAAAGCAGGACCTGAACACCAAACCAATAGAAGCTTTGTAGGGAATCAGCAGGGATGAAACTTAGTGCTTGGTGCTTTGGGTCTACAGGGTCTACATGATGTGTAGTATTGAAAAGTGAACATTTGATGCATTATTGTAAGTTTGTCCCAAAACTTTTCAACCCTCAAATATGGGAGACGCTCACAAACAGGCTTTGAGTGAATACCCTCAAATGAAAGCTGAAAATCTGCAGTTAAAGTAGTCCAAATCCATAGTGGGGAATGTATAAACTCACAAATATGAGAGTAGTGTGGATGTCTCAATATTGAAAGATAGTGTATACTTGCAACATTAGAGGCAAAAGACGATTAGAGAACTTAGTATTTAAATAAGAATATAACAACCATGTCCAATGTTCTTTGACCTCACATACATTCAGAGAACTGCATTAACTAAAAGCCTTTTATGATTTACAGCAGTGATTAGTTGGGAGCAGATGGAAAGTTCAAATGTCTTCCTCTTGAACTCAAAGAAATAATTATAATACTATACTGAGAATGCTTTACATTCGACCTAAAGCAAGGCCAACACTCAAAAGGCTCCAGATCCTCACGACAAGTGTCAATATTCCTTTTACCAAAAGTGCAAATGGCGGGTTTGTCATGTTCTTCCTTGGTTTGGTGGGATAATACATTTTGTAAATATAAATCATATTCTAGCACCAATCAGGAAGCAGTTTGTGAAGAAAAGCTGGAAAATGGCGAGACTTCACTGAAGTCCAAACTTAGGGGAACCTATTTTTCCTGACACTTAAATACTAATTCAGTGATATAAAGAGGAATCTTGGTATTTTGTCCCACAGAGAGCGAGCCTCATCCACAAATCTAAAATGAATCAAATTAACTATTAACTAACCCTAAACTTAACCGTATTGTGACTCAAAAGATAGCAACACAATGTAAATACTTTCCTCTTTCTGGGATGAAATACCAAGATCTTAGTGAGCCCCATTTACAACCAGGAAATAAAATGTAACAAAAACAGTAAAACAGGAAAAACATGTTAAATGTGTAGTAATTTTTCAAAGGTGCATTGCACGGTTTTAGCTTGGGTCTAAAAATGTTGTATGGTTTGTTCCACTGTAGAGAATAGATCTACATTGGAGACGAGCAAACGACTTCACTTGGATAAGTTACATGTCACATCTGTGGAGAGGCGTGGTTTAATCATTTTGAGCAGTAAAAATATCTGTAATCATTAGCCCCAGGTTCGATCAAGGCGAACGTGAGACCTTCTAGGAGTAATTTAACGCCTTCATCCCGGATAAGCAACATATTTTTTTACAGAATGAAAAGTTTGCCAATTTATGAATCTGGAAACAAGCATCAAAATATTATGCTGACATCATTAGAGTCTGATTAATAATAGGAGACACAATATTCAACACCACAATCTCTCAAGAGTACAGTAATGCCCTTTTCATGATAATTGGTCAAAGATTAAAAATGTGGCTACATTGAATTTGATATCTTTTTAACGTTTAAAGAATGCATCTATGCTTTATCACACTGAGGTACATTCCAAGTAAAGAAATAAAATACCCATGGATGGCAACAAGCGGGTAGCAGATAAAAATGTGCAATGCATCTTTAATAAAACAGTTCAACCTGTCATGCGAACTTTCAATTCATTCACGGGAAAAGGTTGGAAAGAAAATGGCAGACATGGTTAAACACTTCAAACTAATGCTGTGTAACAAACAGTCCAGCCAATACTGCAGTCTCCACTTGAAGGTGCGTCCAGCCTCGGTCTGAGCGGCAGAAATCACAGGAGGAGGAGTTGTGATGTTTGTGTCCGTACTCAGTGAGGACTCAGGAGATGGTGGAAAACTCTTTCAACAGGACGTCCTGACTCAACGTGTTCAGAGACACGTTCTTCCTCACGTTCAGGCTGATCGAGCGCACCTAAAACACACAAACACCTCTTTAAACGGTCATTTTTGGAGATCGAAATATTCAATCTCAAAGTCAGCAAACTGTCTGCTCAGCTGGAGAAAAAAAAAACAATGTTGAGAAGTGGCGGAACAACATGCAGCTCAACTTTGAATGACTCTCGAATGGACAAGAAACGTGGTGAAAAAGAAGCCCAGGTGCTCATATGCCTTATTTTGAGGACCTGGGCTGCAACCACTGTGTGAAAAAGAAAAACATGATCTGATGAAGGCATAAAGCCAAAATGTCATGAATAAATACGATTTTGGACATCTGAGCTGAGTGTGCAATGCTACTTTGTTTCCTGACATTTTGATTAATTTGTTGGTGTGTGATACCTGCTCTTTCTACATTCAATCTCACCACAGAACAACAGTATTAGTTCGTACCAGCTCCTTGAAGAAAGCCGCTTCTTTGGGTTGTTCTGAATATCGCTCAAACTGGTCCAGACCGTCCTGAAGCTTCAGCGTTAGAGTGTCGTAGTTTGATCGAACCACCTCCAAAACCTAAAAGACCAGACCGTGATCAGTGCCTCCATCCACATAACGTTCAGTACAAAGTAGAACGTATTGTAAATTCATACTACGGATTATTCAATGAAATATGTAGTACATTATGAATATCTAGTAATAAAGACAGTATATGTACAGTATCTACAGCAAATCTAAGAGCAGCTCACACACAGCCAGCATCTTTTGAAATCTCATGAAAAAAGTAATTATTAGTCCCACACTGAGGAAACCAAGGCACACCTTCAAAAACTTTAGTAAGGCTGAAAGGAATTATTGTATAAACTTTCAAGTAAATATTTAATTTCAATTGCATAAAAAGACCATTTAAGATCATTTATAAAATGACAACACATTATAAGTAATCATTATAATAAGATAGCAATTGCAGGCCGTAGTATTTATCCCACAATCCAATTCAACTGGACCAGTGTGCCCTGGTTTGGATAAAAAGACTTGACCTGGACCCGACTTGGACCCGACATGGATCCGACGACTCTCACTTCAGTCCGAAAATGTGATTTGAAAAATAAACTAGAAAATCATTCACATAACAACTTGTAGTTAAAAAAAAGGTCCAAATAGATGATTAAAAAATCCTTAAATGACTCTAAGACCAGGTAACCTTCTCTTTGGAGGTTTGTCTAAAGTTCCCATCATTACTTCAGACACGAAACAAACTCGTCAGCTGCACATGCATTTGACCCCTGCTTCTTATGCCCCTCCTCCTCCTCAGCGCTCTTCATCATCGGCCGCAAACACAACCAGCGTCATACACTTCAAGACTTCACAACGGGAATGAAAAACTGATAAATACATCAAAACTATGAGCGCTGGAGGAGACAGACAGTCCAATACAAGCATACAACGTAGATTTGGCCAATTCTTCTATCAAACTTTAGATCATATAGAGCTTTAATGCCTGCAACGTAAATAGCTACATAATAAAACTTAATTATAAAAACAGTTTCATCAGGAAAAATACTTTTAAGAGAGGCACTTCAGCTTTATTTGGATCAAATGAGCAAAAACAAGCAACTATTCAAGCTTGTTTAAAATACTATTCATCAATATGATACATACATAATGATGAAACAACAGCCTCCAGATGAAGGGATGTCTTCAGCTGATATAAAAAGGAAAATATGCAGCCTGTGTATTTCACATCGTTCCTGCGACAGGCCCAGATGTGTGCGTTTATCTTGACTGCCATTGTTTAGCTTTAGTGACGCGTGTGGACCAGACCAGAGCTCATTTAACGCTGATGTTTCTGGGGATGATCCGTCTCATGCTGTCACTCTGCTCCCAGTAAAGTCCACAGATAATGAAAGCTCTGCACGTTACAGATGATTGGGTATTATTCAACTCCATCGCCTACTAAAGGACGTGCAGGTGGAATTTACAAATCAAATTGTAATTCCAGATCGCTGTGTAAAAAGCTCCAGATGATCAAGCCTCTGAGAACAAACAGTACGTATCATTTGCTCTCAGTTTGTCCACTCTTCAACAAGAACTTCAGAACATTTCTGCCTTTCGTATTATACCATGTAAAATCATTTGTCAATATATTTTTGAGTAGAAACTAAGTATGCGGACAATAATGAGAATATACAACATGATGAGATGTAACTGAAGGAATGCAGTTGTAAAATATGTGAGAAAATTCTAAAAACTACTTTAATACTTTTTTTTAAGCAATACTTCTGGTTAAAAAAGTAGAAAATGCCTCAGTGTGCTATCCTCCGACTATGTAGTCACTGACAAAATTGGAAAAAAGAAGGATTTGGACAGATGGAGTAGGGAGACATGTTTGTGCCAGAAGTGTGTGATACAGGCACTGCTCAAAGAAAAGGCCACAAAGCATTGATCTGCAACTTTTTCTAAATAAAAAAAAAGGTACTTTTTTTCCAATTAGCGTCAGGCTGGAAATCGATTTTATTGGACAAACACTCTTGTATCTAGGAAATGGATTTCCAGGAGGGGTAACAATTTGATCACTTCTCTATATCCCACGGAGGGAAATTCTGCTGACGCTGCCGTTATACAGTCAATAGCCAATCAATAGTCAGTCAAACCTAGAACATTATACTTTGACTGTTATCATAACGCAACAGACACACTAAAGCTGGAACGCCACACATCAATATTCTCCCCATTGTATTTAATTAGCCATGCGCAGATATCACAGCCAGAAATCCGAGTCTGACACGGCATCACCAAACAGAGGCACTCCGGCGTCCCGTGTTGTGAATACATTCACCAGATAAAAGCAGCGTAATTGCATAGTTTGATGACTGAATCCATCACTCTCTTATCTCGCTGGTGAAAAGAATTCCTCTGACAGCAGCACAACTATTCTCACTATGTGCTCATCAACGCAAGATTAAAGTTCTCATCTGTGTGAAACCCAGCGCACGTATGGATTTGAAAGTCCAGTCCTTTTCACTGACGATTCACCGCGATTATACACACATCAGAAGTTTATGAGGTAAAAGCCCAGCTAAAGGGCTAAAGATAACGCTTTGAGAAAAGACAAGACCAGTCGATGAATAAGTCGACTAAAACGACCAAGCCGAAGCTCTCAAAAGTATTTCACCAGAACTGTAATGACAATGCAGAAAATAGCACTCACACGGATCACTGCAAAAATATGGATAAACTGGATTGTATTTCAAAAGAAAATACCAAAAGAGTTTGTCCACAACTTAAGATTTTTGCAGGTTTTCCAAAAAAAATCTTGTGCTTTAGATAAAATAATTACACAAATTAAAACTAAGACTAAGACCAACAGCCCAACAGAGAAGGTTAAAATGTCATTATGGGTTGTTTTAGGGTAATAAATGAGGTGTGTTTGAACGAGCTCTGTATTCTTGTGCTTTGTAAAGGCACTAAATGTGTTTTGTGTTTTTACCTGCTCCTCTGACAACTGAGAGATGTGGTTGATTGCAGCGTAGGACTCAATTTTGGGATTGAAATGGTTTATTATGGCCCTTTGAACACAAACACCAGTTAATGCAAGAAAATACTGTAAAGATGTGATCTTTTTACTAAAATATATGAACTTGAATACCTTGAGGGAAAAAAAACACAATTCCAAATGTAATTCTATGCTTTTCCTGCATTGAACTGAAACTAACTTTACAAATGTCTTAGCTGAATTATGATAATACAGATTTGACCATGTCTGTCATATCAGATATATTAGAACATATAATGGTGATATGACGTAATCTTTGTGTGGGAGAAGCGGCAGGGCAGGAGGAGGAGTGATGGGAGGGGAATCCAGTTGGTTTTGACAGGTTAATTTACAAATAATCTCTAGGTTATTGCTCTCTTCATAATGTTACACTATTTGCGGCGATGAAACAATTTTTATAACAGTAAGTTTGATGCATGAGTTCAATAATGTCCTATGGGAATGAATCAAACTAAAAAAGCAGTCTTGAGGGATGTGCGATCTTGAGTGACCTCTAGGGATTAGCAGAGGAAATGCAGATTATGAAAGGACGTAGAGAATCAGGGTTCAAGTGCATCTAGATAAAGAAAATTACTACACAGAAGAGCGAAACGTGGAGGCTAAAATTAGAAAAGGCAGTGACCCGAGGGGGGAAAACTTAAATGATAAACCTTTCATTACATTATTGTGACCTTAACGTGTGGACTTGTCTGAGATCCAAGTCGGTCTAATGCAATCTGACTCAATCCCCTTCACTCAGATATATTAGTGCATTAGCGAGCGCATGTCTTTACCGGATATTCACAAGGGCGTGTGTGACTTTGCTTGCTGGCTCCTTCCATTGGCCCGTGTTGGTAGAAACCCTCAGAACTGAAAAAGACAACAATGGGTATGTTTAAATACCCAATAAAAAAAGAAATACATAGAATAGAATAATCATTTAATGCTATAATAAGATATCTGATTAATGGATCTTAAAATGTTCTCTCTCATTTGGTGATTGTCCCTTCTTAGCTTTTTGGGATAGAAAATATAGCCTGCACTGAGAAATCAGAAACAAATTTCTGTTATATTTGAAATCTCATCAAATATAACAGAATTTAACATTTAAATAATCTGAAAATTATTACAAAAGATTTTTTCTTTCACTTTTGTAAAAACAGAAGTCAATGCTTAAGTAGATCGGTGTGGATCGGTGTGTTTAACTTCAAAAGTGTGTCACATTTTGATCTGGTTCACTGAAAATTGACACATTTTGGTTAAACATTTGCAAACATGTGTCTATTAATCACAAATAATAAGATTGTCCAACAAAAATTAAAAAAAGATAAATAGACTATTCACTGTGATCGCAAAGACGGTCATTTCAAATCTGCCAAAACTGATTCACAGACAGTACTTTTGTTTTAAAAAGACAGAAAACTGAGCAGGATGTCAGAGTGATACAATGACATCATACGATTATAGGAAAGACACAGGAGCTTTTAGACAGAAGGGACAGAGATACATGTTTGTGTGAGAAGTGCAGATATTGGGTGGATGGATCCGAAACAGACTATGTCCAGTTTTAAACTGACGGCTTGTTTACGCACCGCTTTGGTAATTATGAAGTGAAAAACTGTACACGTCACTTACCCATACAGTAGAGATTGTCAAAGACTTGGTGCATTCGGACGATTTCGTAGTAGAGCTCGTCATAACTGTTGGACGTGGGCAGGAACGTGTCGCCGTAAGTTATAAACATGTTGAACAAATTCACCACCTGAGAAGTCGCACAAACACACTTTGATTGACACATATTCATTACAGCATCTTCGATCCATCTCTAGCACATAGGCATGCTTTGCTAAAAGAGGTCTTGTAATGTCTTTTGTAAAATAATAACACGTAATTATCAAAGGTAAGGTTAAATATTTAGCTGAATGATAGATATGCCGCCACATTGCAGCCACACATCCTCCGTCACCGCTCCGTTCAGACCAGCTGTGGCTGCAGTAGTAGTTAATCACCACCGTGTATGGAGTGAATAAATAATGACGATAAGAGTCTTTGAGTGTCCAAAAAAGTACTGAATAAAACCAATGCATTAACCTTCTTTTTCTACCCCTTAATCCATTTCTGGGTCGGGGGGGGGGGGGATTTTGGACAGAGATGCCACCCAGTACAAATAGAACCAGCCTCTCACTGATTCTCCTGCAGGTGTTGAGTTCACAGGAGGATGCTTTAACTTTATTATTTTTATTACAATACAACAGGAAACCCTTCAGCTCATATTCAAGTGTAGCTTTTATGATAACAAAACGTAGCCGGTGCAGTTTATTTACAAGTGCGATTAATAGTCCTAGTACTGTAAATTTGTGGGAAATACGGTCCATTCTTTAGTGTATCTCACCAGTAAAGCCAGTTGGAATATGTTGTGTTTAGCCAGGAGTGTGGTCTCATTCGACAGCAGGAACTTTAGCAAGTTAATGAGAGCTGTGCACAGACAAAGTTAATGATCAATGGTCAGGAAATCATCAGCAGTTACAGCAGGTTACAAGAGTTTTGATCAGAGCATGTGTTTTTGTAAATACTTTGATTAAAAGTACATCTGCACAAAAGTATAAAACCACAATGAGAGTAATTTAAATGTTATAACAGCACATGTGCACTTAAAAGATATATTTGAAATTTACATCCATTACATCTTTAGATCTGCTGGTGAAATTAGTGTGTTGTTAAAAGCATCTGTCATTATATTTTGGTAGAAGAAAATCTAAAAATAAAAGGTTGAAGTTGTATTTTATTCAATATCAAGAAAACTGCTTTGGGGCGATATTTCACATGGTGTAAACTCAATGTTATATGCCATAATCTAATGGATGAAAATAACAAGTTGCACATCAGAACATTTAATATAAAGACAAATTATGTTAGAAGTTAGTACCTGACCACAGCTCCCTCCAGGTGTAGTGCAGCCGTATCCTGCACTTCTTCTGGTAGCACAGAAGTTTGTGAATGATCTGCACACATCGTCTGCGCAGAGAAAAGAGGCGTCAGAAAAGAGAAGAGAGAGACGAAACTGTGTTGCTGTCGGTTCTTACAAGTATAATTCCATGGGGAACTCCTTCATCATGTGCGTGACTATAAACTCCACCATTAGATCTGATCCAAAAATGAGAAAAACATTCAAAGAGATTCATTTTTATTCACATAGAAACAAAAAAGCATAAGTCGAGTAAGTACAATTCACGCTTGTTTTCCCACAATGACAAGAGGAAATTTGGGCCAAGTTCTGCTTCAATCTATACATATTACAACTAGAAAAAAGTATTCTTCAGAATTAAAGTACCGGTATTTCTGTAGAAAGAAAAATTGACTGTGGGCAACACATGAATGAGTGGTTTTCATTTGATAAACACTTTGACATGGTTTTATTTTAGTTTTAAACCACTTGATAGCCAGGCTGGCACCACTTAGGTTTTTTTTTTAATTCCAGCTACTAGCTCAGAGAACCATCAGTGTTCGTTTTGTGTCCAACAAAACAGTACACTAAGCGATGGAGATTTAGCTGGATCAAGCCAACAAAGAGGAAGTTTTGATAAGTGACTCTGGGGAGAAGGAAAGACGTTTTTGTCCTGCTTCCTTCAAATGTCACGACTAAACAGCAACGAATGGTTCAAGCTAAATAGGTACCCGCCCACTGTGGAGCGAGCAAATCAAAGTGTTGCGATATCATGAAACCGGCTGATGCATGAAGCTAACATTATGCTTAATCCCCTTCACTTTTGACTCCAGGATCCTCTGTGTCAGGGGTCTCCAACCTATAGCTCGGGAGCCATCAGTAGCTCGCCACCCCCTTCCAGGTAGCTCGCCACTTAATATTTTAGATTGTATCATTCAGTATTATTATTTATCATTGTAAATGCTCTTACTTCGTGCACTAGTAACACATATGCAATGATAAAGACTGTATCCAATATCAGACTCGTTCACACAAATATATCACTTTTTTCTTTTTTCCCAGGGTCGCTTAAAAGGAGTAGCTCTCTGCCTTTATAGTCCCGGCAAAGTAGCTCTCTGGGTGAAAAAGGTTGGAGACACCTGCTCTATGTGTTTCAAAAGCAAACAATGAACATACCTAACACTGCGCACACCAGCGGTCGTGAGGGGACATTCTTATCTATCATCTTTTTCCTGTGCCTCATGGGCTGCAGAGAATCAACAATCATTGGTTAAATGTAATAACAAACGCGCGCGCACACACACACACACACACAACAGTTTTACTCCTCACCATTCTGTGTAGAGTAACTCTGAAGTTCATGTTGTCGTCGTGAAGGAAGGCATCTGCGTACTGGTCCTAGATACAAAACAACAGCAGAGTTTAGCTTAAAGCTTTGAGCGTGGCGCTAATAAGACGTGCACGGACCTCGGCTATACAGGTGAGGATAATGAGGCACAACTTGGCACTGTTCAGGCGGTGCTCATCTGTGAAAGAAAATAAAAAGTAGAAGATTAAAAAGCGACAGTGTAAGATGACGCGACGAGTAAATCACCTTTAGTGTCTTGCATTACGATGGAGGCATATTTCAGAAATGTAATTAGGAGGTTGCTTGTTTGGAGATTGGGATCAAGAGGCAGCTCCGGATTGTTCATCACTGTAGAGAATGACATAACAGTTCATAAGCTACAATGTTACAAAGCAATAACTATATTAAAAAAGGTCCAGCGCCAAGATACAGGCCACATCTATGGAGAGGCAAACTCCGCACACATGATGACCCATGTTTTAGCAATTAAAGCAGTGGCAGGTTTAATGGCCTGATATGGATAACCAGCCATAAGGTGACAGATCGTCCACAGTAATATATTATACAGGTACACACAATATACAGAATACATGTTAAGTACTGTATATTCTCAGTCTGACATAAATAGCTGGCATTTTCAAACACATCTACTACTTTGTTAGTTTCGCAGCAAAATTTGATAAAATATATAGTAGTTATTGTAGTAAAACATGATGTCATTAGGACAATACTTTATTTCAAGAGATGAAGAACATTTTTTCTCATTCCTAAAGAGAATTGGCTTTTCTCTTTAAAACAAAACATTTATCCTTGTCCCATTGGAAAATCCTGTTTCAAGGCCAACCAATTTGACTAAAATCAAGATAAATTTAACCAAATCTGTGCTAGCAATTTTTAACTTGTATTTTTGGAGTGTAGCTTTGTAGTTTGCATTATGTTGACCTTATATATTGAAACAAATAGAAGGATGAGTCATGCATTTGTGATCTTAAAATAACTCAAATTATCGTGTCAAAATAGTATTGAATAATAACCATGGCTCCTACGCCATCTGTTATAGCAAAAAGTGATTCCTTTTTAAACTGTCTGAAATCTGGAGACTTAATTATTGTGACTCATTTGGTTTGTGTCCATTTAAAAGCAGCTTCTGGCAAATATTTCTACAAATTGATGGTGAAAGCTCTTAGGAGTGACAGTCGAAGACGGATGAAGACAATATTTCACTATGAAATCCGGCTCAAGATCAGCGCCTCAAGTGTTGTTTAAGCAGAAAGTATATTAACAGTTACTTTCTTTCTGTTTTCTCGCACAGATGGCGTGTTCACTCAAGCAGCAAAACGCGCAGCAGAAAACGTTGCGTTTGTCCCATTACTGCGTTTGATGTCTAGACAAGAACCTCCATCGCTTTACAAATCTGTGCTCTGAATCACAAAGCTTGTTCCATGGATAAAAGATGAGGCAGCCATTTCCATTTCTCCTCCTGTACATATGCTATCTTTTCATCAGTTTTCTCCCCAAGGAAGAAATCAGAGCATAATATACAGTACAGCAGAAAAACAAGTCTATGAGGGAAAACAGCCATCACAACATGACATAATGCACACAACATGTTAAATGCATCTGTAGCCCTCCCAGAGAGTTAATATTTCATGAACCAAATGGCTCTAAGGTTTGGAGCAGAGAGATGCATGGACCTATTCACAGTTACAGCACGTACAAATGTCAAATTACTCTTAAATAGACTAGCAGCACTATAACTCATAACTCTAAGCCAATTAGAAGTGACTCAACTGAACAGAAATTGTAATGAGACTCCAAGATCTGCTAATCTGATACTGGGGCGAAGGAAAGTGGCTCAGAAAGTCATTCAGAGATTCACTTCATATTTTAGAAAATGTACTATTTTAAAAATATGTGACAAATAGGGTTGCCTTGTAGAGACTTCTGTAACAATATCACAATAAGACCCCTAAGACAAAAGTTGAAATGAAAACTAAACCAAAATAAACTATTTGACTAGATGAAGAGTACTGTTAAATTGTATATAAAAAGGGTTGGTTCATTTTATTTGTTCAGTGTTACATTTTTTGAGGTGCATCTAGGTTCTCAGTGTATCTAAGGAGGAAACAGGAGCCAATACAATTCCATAGCAAAGTATTGAATGGGGCATCTACCTTAAAAATCATCTTTTGTGCCTGCATAAAAGACAAACATTGGGGCTAAAGATACATTTTAAAACTTAATTATTTGTACTTGTTTTTATTTGATTGCATACACAAGAAATAAATTAGGATTAGGATTTGATTAACTGTATGTTTAAAATTCAATGATTATATACACTACGGCCCGATTCGGACAAACCAGGTGATACAGAAATGTTTCTATCTGAAAGAAACTTATCTTAAAAAGGAGACATTGATTATGATTAGCATTGTATTCATTGTATTGCCATTGTTTTCTAATTGCATTGCTTGCAATTATTTTTATTTATCTCTATTTGGTATATTTCGACTTGGCGTAAGTGTTTGGTTATGAAACGTCCTCTATAAATAAAATGGATTGGATAAAGATAGGCTGGAGATCACAAATAGGACTTTTAAAGGGACGAGCTGATGTTTCAACACAACCGGTGTCAATGACGCCAGGAAACACAGTATTAAGTTGAGAAAAATATATATATAAATAGTATAGTGAGTGATATAAAGAAACCCAGCGTACTGTCTAGCGCAGGTGGAGTCGTGCCGAGGGGAGTAGTGGGAGTGGTGGAGGTGGGAGTAGTGGAAGTAGCAGCCATGTCGAGCTCAGGATGACTCTGTGGAGAGGTAAAAGGTGCACTTTATTTAAAAGTTTGTTAAAAAAAAAAAACCGTCAAGTTGAGTATTTTTGAGTTGCTATCATATGAACAAATGAACATCAATATAGATCAACATGAATATGAATATGAATAAAAATATTACCTGTGCTAGTACAGTGATGAAGTTGCGGTTGAGGTGAACAGCTTCATATAAAGCCAATAAAATCGCTTCGTTGGTCCTAAAACGAAAAAAAGATAAATGTATACATACAAATTTAAAAAAACATAAGAGCTGGTTGGGGCCAGTGTAATAAAAGTTGTTTTTACACTTTTAGGACTTTCAATATTATTTTACAAAAGATACAATACCTGGTTGTTTGCCTGAGACCATTGGCTTTAAACTTAAGTGTAACACGCCATAGTTGCCCCTTACCATCAATGCTACAATTTATTGCGATAAAGATAATTGAAAATCATTTCAGGGACCACTAAAAAGTGTCTCATGAGCCAGATTTGGCCCTTGAGCCGGAGTTTGAAATGCCTGCCATAGGTACAAATGTAATGTAAAAAAGGCAATACAGAAAGAAAAACAGTTGCATAATAGTTGGATAATAACAATACTAAATAAGGACACAAAACACTTTAAAATCAATGGCAGAATTCATAGTTAGAAATTAAAATAAATTACTGCAAAACCTCCAATAAAGAAAACAAATATTATATTACAATTACAATCTTTCACAAATTCCGACAAACATCCAGCTCTTGGATTTTTATGGTTAGTTCTTAGTTTAATGGGAATCTTGCAGCTCAACCATAGATCTAATATAACATCTCAACCAAGTCATTTAGAACCAGTTTCAGCACAACTTGGACGAATTGCTTTGTTATCATCTGAACACGGATATCAAGATTTATTGAGACGTTAATATACACATTTACATAAAAACAGAATTATAACAAACTCAACTCATATAAATCTAGAACAAAAGATCTTTCACTTACTGTACAGAACGTTTCTCCTCAGCATCTGCTATAAACATGTTTCCCACCTGTTCAAAGACAAACGAGTTTCAATAAAAAACTGTAGAATTGGTTCCAGAGTGAAAAAAACAAATATATCTCATTTTTACTACAGAATAAATGAATTGAAATGTGGTCGTACCATACTCGTGAGCGTGGAGAAGAAGCCCCCCTGGTTTTCCTCCTCTTTATCTTTGTATTGCCTGGAGGGAAGAAGGAAAAGATTACTATAATGGGAATGAATGAAATTACAATAAAACCAAAGCACACTACATCACAACATCTGTAAACACATATTTGTAAACTATCTTGATTCAGTTCTTTTCATTTATTATGAGACCAGGTAGGAAAAAGCCTAGACAATATAAAGCAGTAATCCATCAATTTGATATGTCTGTTGGAGCACGCAGACAGGAAACAAGAGCTGCACACCCAAACAGTGATGATGCTTCCAAACCTGGCCTCATCCAAAAAGACATCACAGGAAGCCAAAACAACAGCAGATTAAATCAATCTTTTTAGTTTTATAGGAAAGAAAAAAAAGTCTTGAGGAAACACCATAGTATTACAATGCATCAGTGGGACTTGTGTGTTTTACCTGTTGTATTCGGTCAAAGCCTGATGAAGAACCATGCCCATGCCCTGCGACAAAAAAGACAAAAGATTATAACTAGTAAGTAAGTAATCTTTATTTATATAGTGCCTTTCACAGACCAGAGTCACAAAGCGCTTTACAATTGTTGTGGGTATTTGTCTCTCACTCCACACAGAGATGGGAGCGAGGTCACCATACAGGAGGCACAAATTGTACATGTTTTTCAGAGGTAGGTGGAAACCAGACACGGGGAGAACATGCAAACTCCACTCAGAAAGGAGCTGTTCCAACCGGGATTCGAATCCAGGACATTCTTGCTGAGAAGCGAGAGTGCTATCCACTCAGCCACCGTGTCACCCATTCATAACTATGAATGCTATTTAATGCATAATATAAACTAATAAAATAAAATATATATTATTATGAATGCTACTTGATGCCAAAAGTTGAAATTGTCAAAAAAAAAACTCTTCAAACAACTAGTAGAATTTATCAGAAGACCAAAAGAACCTCGTTGGAGGTAAAATGTACTTACATCCAGGGTCGGCTCATCATCAACGATCGAAAGCTTCACAATATACGGATTTACAGACTGAAACATATACAGATACGCAGGTCAAGGCAACAACTACCCCAAGGTGATTACACATACAATCTGGACAACTACAATACTAATATAAAAAGGAATGTGAATGTTTTTATATTTTTTTCCATAATAGATGATAATAAAAATAACTTTGTCCCTTATTTCTGCCTAAAAAACTGTTTTGTTTTTTCATTTGAATGAGACAGTGTGCCTTTAAGAACAGCAGGTTTTGTAAATACACCAGATTTAGCTCATGAACAGGTGATAGAAAACACACAACATTCAGAACAGGAAAGACAACTTTACTTATCCACAATCAAGACAACACAGTAGGAAAGTGCAGCACACAAACAGTAATAGAGAAAAAGGAAAACATACATAAGCACAAAGAAACATCCAACTGTAGAAATCATACTGTTTTTTAATAAAGATATAAAGTTACTCACCTCATACTTCCTGTAGTTGACCAAAAGTGCCAAGAGGACCACGGCATCATACCCATGCTGCCCTCTGCTGGATGTGTCTGACAAAATCTAAAGATAGAGAGATTATGGTAATGATAGGAGTGTATAAATTAGTCACAAAAATATTCAACCCTAAATAACTTTACTTGCAGAATGGCTTCAAAGATACTGTTGATCATCACATATTCCAATATAGTGTTTTGGCTTATGTTGTCGGTAACCTAAAAGAATATAGTTATTTCAGGTGTAATTGTTTGGATCAGAAGACATTAGATACAATTGAGATGTGTGATTGTAAATTACCGTCACTAAACATAAAAGTAGTTTAAGGCAAAGACTTTTAAGACTTTCTGAACCCTCTCCACAAAGAAGGCTGTCGAGACTCTCCATGAGGTCCTGCAGACACAAGAAAGAAGATGTTGAATAGATTAAACATAAGAACACTTTTTTTAAGAGCTGTTCAATTTGAATCCAACTGCACCTTCATCCGCTGCTCAGCCTTGTCGAAGCCCATAAGCATGTTGATAATATCAAAGCCTGACGCAGATTTATTTTTCTGATGAACACCCCGAAAAAGTGCACAAAGAGTCTGTAAAAAATAAAAAATAAAAAATATTATGAACCTCAAAATACATTTGGAAAAGGGTCTTTGTTTTGATATGTCTTATTCTAAGCAGTTGTTACCTGTAGGGCATTGACCACTTTGATCTGGTGCTCCTCTGCCAGAGTCTGAACACAGTGGTGGAACAGAGCATTGATGTTGTCTTGATTCCGCTGAACCTCCTCTCCATCTACACTTTCCAACTTTGCCTCCAGATACTCCAAGTTGACCTGAAGAGAAAGTTCCAAAGGAATATATCAAGACAAATCTATAACAGTGGTTTTAAAATACAGCAGTAACACATATTATGAAAACCACATCAGCACTGCTTTGATGCATAGTAACAAAATAAATAGCTTTGCTGATCTAATGTGGGAGGAAATAAAATATCAAACATTCTGTTGCTCTACTGCCCACATAATCTCTTACAATACATGATAAATGTATAAACACATTATTAGAAAAGCACCTTCATAAGAAACAGTTCGTCCCAGAAGCGTTGGTTGTTTTTGGCCGGGTCTTCCCTCTTTACAAAAAGCAATTCAACATAATTATTATACGCTAAATAAACAAGAAACATAATACATATGTAAACAACCTATTGTGACACTTACTGCAAATATCTCATCATACATCAGCACTACTTTCTCTTTTAAGGGCTTTTTAGAGGAGGAGGTTCTCCTCAGTAACCCTGCTTTCTTCTCCACCTGAGACATGTCTCCACCTGAGACAGAAAGATACACTGTACATTAGTTTCAACGTGCTGAAGTTCGCACACATGTTATGGTTAGAAGTTAGAATGTTTCTAACGTAAGTATTACATAATTTAGAATAATTAGACAGTTACATGAACAGAGGGTTATCTGACAGGTGACGTCCTATTTTGTTGTGATCTTCATAAACACTGTGTTCAGGATAGTATCATACTGATTGTATTTAGACATTAACAGTATTCATTTTTGAAACAGTTTATTTTCATAATATTTAAACCATTTAAAGGATGGGCTTATGCTACCTAGCCACTTAGCTTATCCTAAATAACGCAACAGTAAGTATTATGCACTTTAACAGAACTTGGCGAAATTGGCGAAACAAGAAACATGATTTCATTCGAATCTGAATTGCCATATAAGTTTGTGCAAAACGCGACGAGGGAAAATAAGCATTCAACCAAGCGTCGTCCGTGCGCTGAGGCTAGCATAAGGATCCAGACAGCAACCTAACAACATTAACAAGTGAACGCTAACTTTGTCTGACAATAACACTGCACCTTTACAAGATGGAAATATTAAGAAACAACGGCGTTAGAAGTTCTAGACCTTACCTCAACCGTGGTTTGTGTTACGATGTGAGAAGAATATCATGAATACTTGTGACACCAGTGGCCCCAGTTAGCCCCATGGATGTTAGCGTTAGCATTAGCATACTACCACTGCTCCTGCTCCTCAGGGTCTTAGCTTCTGCACGTTCACGCACGTACTGCAATTTGATACTAAAATTACTTGATTTACTTACAAAATAATAATAATAATAATAATAATGCATCGGTTTTATATAGCGCTTTTTTGGACACTCAAAGACGCTTCACATGTGTCATTATTCATTCACTCCATACACGGTGGTGATAAGCTACTGCCCTGTCAGTGTGCCCCAGCTGCCCTGGGGCACACTGGGGCACACTGGGGCACACTGACAGAAGCGAGGCAACCAGTATGCGCCATCGGCCCCTCCGACCACCACCAATCATTCATACACACACCAGACTCATTCTAGGCAATGGGGGTGAAGTGTCTTGCCTAAGGACACAACAGCAGTTTGGCACTTTACAGCCGCAGCCGCCCCACTGTGGCTGGTGTTCCCAGAGGTTAAGTGTCTTGCCAAGGACACAACGACAGTAGTCGGTGGGAGTCGATGGTGAAGGTCTTGAGCAGGGCTTGAACCCACGACCTTCTGGCTCAAAGGCCAACGCTCTACCAACTGAGCTACTGCCGCTATGTAATTAACGCATATAAATTTAACCGTTTCCATAACATGCTCAGGAATCTGAGACGTAGAGAAGTCAGAAAAGACTCAAGTTAGCTGGGTTATAAATCAGTCACTACTTCACCCTTGGTCAACATAATAATGACTGGATTTGTTGAATGACATCGGAAAACGGACAACAAAAAAGGTAGGGAAATCCTGCTATATTGACAATGACTGCACCACAATATAAAGTGAAAATGTATCTTTTATTGGTACCATACATTAATTATCAAGGGCAGAATCTAACCAAATCAAAAATATATATATATCAAACAATGATTTTTTTTCTACAGGGTTTTGTAAAAGGTACAAGTCACCATTTAAAACTGAACCAAAAGCTTCAACTGTGATAAAATGGAAACAAAAGATTCAGCCTCTTCGATACAGACTCAGCATTGCTACCAAATATGCTGATTTAAAATGAATGCCTGGCTGGTTTTAGAGGAGAAATGTATGTTGAGAAATGATTATGATAAGTACAAAGGAAGACAATTTGGACAAAACTATTAAAAAGCCAGTGTTGAACCTCTGTAATGCACTGGTTTAGTAACAAATGCAGCAAACACATTCACTTTGACATCATGTTGAAAGCTGAAGTACACAAAACTGTGGTGACATGAAACGCATGAGACTTTCCAAATAAATAAAAGTTAAAAGGCAGTAAAATTATTTCCTCATGGTGCCGCTGTACCCCCGGGGTTTTTGCAATTTAATTTACACACATTTTTATAAAAGAGGGAGAGGTAAGAGCAGAAAGGGACATAAGGGATAGGATGAGTGTTTTTTCTGCTTTTGCTAATTTTTGTTTCTTTACATTAGATCAGGATGGCTTTAGGTAAATCTAAGTAAGAATACATTTTTATTACAGTCAGACAGAACTTTGCTACTACCTTAAATATACAAGCACAAATACACAAATTCAAATCTCCAAAAAAGGAAACAAAAGACAAAATAAAAACATCCACACTAAATTATTTCTCTTTTATAAACATAAAAGATAAAAACAATATACTTTAGAGGGGTAGGGATAAAAGTCCTGTGTTGCTCCTTGGTCTGTAGCTTTTCAGTATTGGTAGAAAATAAAAAAGTTAACAATTGAAATGAAGGCGTTTAATACAAATTAAAAAACATTCTAGGGAAATATATACTGTATAAAAACTCTTAAAATGTGTTACTGTGTGCGTGTATGTGTGTGTGTGCACTCTGCCCTTCGTCTGGGGCAGAGATGGCTCGAACCCTTGGGTTTGTCCTTCAATAATGTTTGTGTTTCTTTCCCTAGTAGCACATATCAGCTTTTAGATTTGTGTGTGAATTCTTAAAAGTCATTACGGGCTGATTCTTCATTCTGGTCTGTTTTAGCAAAGCCGCAAATGCACCCAGGCCAACTTATTACAGTCGCTCACACATTCACACACGCATATATACTTTATGAACACCCGTCTCAGCAGCTTAGGCTTCCACAAGACCAGAACCAAGAGCCATGTACAGACCGGTGCATGGTTGTCCCTAACCAACTCTGCACCTTTGGGAGACCTCGCCATTTCCACCCGCTGCTCCCCACCCTTAAATATCTTGTGAAGCTAACATATTGTAGATGATGAGAAAAGTCCATTTAAGCCTGCTGCTGTATGATGCCTGGTTGTTGAAATTGCCAACTTAAAGAGCCTGTACCAGAATTTTCCTCCACATTGATGCGTAGAAATGGTTTTGCTTCAGTGCAGATATGTTATACAATTACTCAAGAGATTGATTTCTGCATTGCTTCTTAACTGATTATAGTGTTCCCTTTTTTGTACTTTAAATCAGAAGTGCTCTGCTATTGTGGCCAGGTCTTGTTAGCTTACTCTGATGCCTTACTCACTCTGGCCTTTTAATGATAAAAAAGCACTCATAAATACGCAGAGACCACTTTTCAGAATGCTAGGAATGTGTGAGAAATTGAGGAATATGGTTGGAATGCAGCAGTAGTAATAGTTTTAATGAAGCAAAACTTGGGCACAGGTTGTTTAAGTACTACACTCCTGGCTCTAACCTATATTAAGTGATGGATCTTGTTAATATGCATCTAGTGTTGTATGATGCCGGGTTGCAGTTGTTGGTGGTTGCTGAGGTGACGGTGTAGGGCAGAGGGTGGCAGACTGGGTCAATTGCAGTGAGGGACTCTACTGTGACGCCTGTGAGGTGGGGTTGTCGCTCTTGCTCTCCTGGCTGGACGGGGGCTTGTTGTTCCAGGGCGAGTTTGAGCCAAGGGCCGGGGAGTTGTTGAAGCTGTCCTCATCGTCGATTCCGTTGGCCGCGTCAAACTGCGTGTTCTCCAGCCGCGTGATGAGGCGCTCGTCCTCATCACCGAACTCCCCTCCCATCAGCGTGGGCTCCCCGACCACCATCACATCCTGCAGCGGCACAAGCAAAAGGGTTACGGTCACAGAAGACATTTAGTTATTTATTATTATTATTATTATTATTATTATTATTATTATCATCATTTTATATTCACTTTTCTTGTTTGGCAAAATGTGTGAAAAGACAAAAAAAAAATCTCAATATGCTTTGTGTATAATTTGCTTTGATCATGTGGATGTACTGTGCCAAGACACAAAGTATAAAAACGGACAACGTTACACAATCACGGACTGTGAATTTATACATTAAATTTGTTTAATCTAATTAAAGCTTTTTCTGAACAACTACTTTCAACAAATCAAACCAAAACATGCAGTCTTCATCTTACAAAACATCTTTTCTTTTACATACATGCAAGTAATGGTCATGTGAGTCACTATTTGACACTTCACTTTTCTCTCATCTGGTGTGACTGTGACTAGAGCAAAGATATTACATGCATGTAAAAACTAATGATAGAACTATTTTAGAGCCAGGAAATAGAAACATGATTACATGTTACGAGTTCATTTTTTCGGTTCTTCAATAAACAGACAATTATGACACTGTTCTGAGGAAACGGAAGTATACCGTCAATACATGTCAAGGTAATAACATCGCTATCTTACAATTGTCCTAAACAAACAAATGCATTATTTATTATATTACTAAGCACTACTGATGTTGAGTCGAAAACATTGGATCTATCTTTTCTAAGAATCTGCACTCACAATTTTTATCAACGGAGTTTTAGGCCGTTTACATTTATTGTGTTGAGTCACTGTCAGATCCCACACAGGGCATTGACAGCGAGTCCTCAGAACTTATCACTGCTGTGAATACAAGCCACAAAAGTGTTCCTCTTATGTTTAAAAAAAGAAGGTAACTGATGGTATACTAATGTTTTGCACATAAGACGTACTCGGTACCAATTTCTATCCTCTTTTTTTTAACCAAAAGAAGATCTGTGAAACAGCGAAAGCTGAATTGCGTTATCGAGAGCCCACCATACATATTTAACATTAATATATTGTATTTGTAATAACAATACACCATCAGTAGGTGGCACTAAAGCACTCACTGGGACTTGACTGGACAGAGGAAATCCACTGCCTGGACTTTTCTTTTTGTTGTTGCTGTTGTTGTTGGTTCCTCCTCCGCTGATGGTGCTGCCTCCTGACATCTTACGCTTCCGCCTCTTGTTAGGGGCTTGTCTTGATGGCTCAGCTACAAAGACAAGTAAATAAAGTTAGCGTCCAATTCTTTCAATGCTGTTTAATTACTTCATGTTTCTTTTTAACGTACCAGGAGGTGCCACCATTCTTTGCCATTTCTGGAAGAGACAGGTCTTGAGACAGTCTCTTGGACTGAGGCTGTAGGTCTTGTGTCTGGACATGAGCTCTTGCATGGGCTCCAGAATAACACATAGCTGGAACACACAGTTACAGCTTGTTACAATATTTTATGAGATGAAGTAAAAATACGAGACACTTCTGTGTACCACATTTCTTATAAGGAGGTCTTAAACAAAAATAACACTAAGGAGCAGCATCTGGGTCAAAGCTTTGAATGCCTATTGTCGGAATACAGACCAGCAGCTCCAGTTCAGCAAGTGCCTCTTTTTTGTTTTAGAAAAGGCAAACAAACCAACTAAAAACAGCTCATCCTTTTCGAAGTACATTCTTAGGGAATACAAAGCCTTCATGTTTACAGACTAGAGCCAAAGAACTTTTATTCCCATAATAGGAATAAAACCTTAAAAAATATATAGAACACAGAAAACCCTAAAATTAGCCAAGAAGCACCATCATCGCTAAAATGTAAAACAGAAAATCCAGAATTTAAATCTGGAAAAGCATTAGACATACATTTTTTCATGTCATAAACCAGACATACATTATTTTTGTTTACAAATTCTAGTTAATATCATTATGTGTTAAATGTTTGATCCCGTACTCTTAACTCAAGCACCAAGTTTCTCATTAAATGTATTTAGGATGCCGTGCAGTAAATCTGACAATAGGCTTCTCTAATAATATACAATTTGTGAGGAAATATTACAGACCTATCATTTAAAAAGAATGTGGACATAATTTATAAGTTAACATGTCAACAGGGCATTGTTTAAGACTATTATTAAGTCTTTAAAGCAAGCATGACGAGGGCAAAACTAATGCATGAGACAAAAGCACCATTGACTTGACTTACTCGGAGGTAGTTTAGGGTGGAGTTGGACAGGCCGCATCTTGTAATGTTTTTGGACAATTGATCCAACATCTGTGGGTCCTGGGCCTGTGAAACAGTTGAAAGCAAGATCATAAACACCATTATATTTTCAAACGTTCTCCGTTCATGCTTCCTGCACTCACATGCATGGCCAGTATACTGCGTGGGATGAGCTCACGGTGTTGTCTAATGCTGAAGTGCCACGTTTTTATCCTCATCATGTCATCAAACATGAACTCCAGGTATAAGCGGCCTTCTACACACACCTGCATGAAGAAGAATGGCAATTTAATACATATATTTAACTTGTTTATTGTTCATTTGACTGGGAAAATCATGTTACTGAATACACCTCTCCGTTGCCCCAGTCATACTCAAAACACTCTTCCCCTTGAGCTATTGTACACATTTTTAGAGACTCAAGATGGCGTTCCGAGGTTTGCTTATGTGCCATTATAATTTAAATAACTTTGTAAAGAGCTGTCAAAGTCAGCAGCAAGCAAGTTGAAGTGTCTCAAAGCACTACACAATTCCTTTCCCCAGGCTCAGTGGCAACGGAAGATCGGCTGCCAATCAGCGCGATCAGCCTCAGACCACCATCATCACTCATTCACCAGGTTCAAACATTCATCCAGAGTGCCTGGAGGAAATCCACCCAGACATGGGGAGAAACGAGCACACTGATATATATATATTATATATATACACATATACATATACATACATATCCTTATAAATACATTGAACCCACGACCATACGGCTGTGTGGCCTGGAGGCTACCGACTCAGCAAATGTGCCTAATTTAAGTTATAGGCATACTAAGACACTGTACAAAAGTGAATTATTGCTTCTATCCACTGGGGATTTTGAAGACTGAATAGAAACACACATTTGTACTATTAAAATACTATCAGAGAAGTCAATACTGGCGAGTCAACTAGCTTCTAATCACCAAGAACCAATTCTAAATACCAATATACAATATTATTTGTCTTGCCCTATTGGATTATATTTTAGTCCACCAATAGTTTAGTATGCGTTTAATCCCCGCCTCCTTGTCAACAGTCAAAAATCATTCAGTTAATTAAGAAAAATATTCATATGGCTGACAAACCTGTGTGAACATAGGTTTTCCATTTTGGGTAACCATGGTGCACTGATCACAGTCGAGGGAGACAAAGTTGTTGTGGAAGGACTCTTTCGGATGTTTTAGCACATAATAAAGTTCAGTGGCACCGCCCTCAAATATACTCCGGAAGTATCTGGGAATCAACGTCCGGCCTATTGCTAAAAGGACAGAAAAAGACAAGTGTAAACAATTAGATTCATATGGGAACATTTCTAGACAGCAGCTTTTCAAAAATATTTTACCATTCTTAGTATATAAATCATATTAAGGTTTTTATACGTACTGTAGCGTTTGGGACCATCTTCAAGACAAAAAGTTATAGTCAACATGGCATCGTCTTCAAAAAACTCAGTAGTGAATGCATCCCACCAAAGATTATCACAGTCCTGTATTGAAAAACATTATTAGCCATATGCAAGTTAGTGTTGGTCTTTTTGCGAGGCTCACAAACCTCTGTCCAGTTCTGTAGTCTTTTGTTTAGCTCAAATATTCTGTAGTCTGTCTGGTTTCCATATGGCGTGTGCCTCCTGGATCACAGTAAGAGATAATTTGAGTGAATAACAGGGCAACAAACTGCAACAATGGCCCCACAATTACAACCCCTAGGACTCTATTCTACACAGGCCAATAGCCTATCAGACTAAATGTAAAATACTATAGAAATTAAGATAAGAATATTGCTTCCCACAACCTTATCTGCATTTGTTTAATTGGCGTTTTCAAAGCACCTGAAGATAATGGAAAATAATGTCTTACCCTATTCCTGGCTCCAGGTATGTCGGAGGATACATCGGGGTAGGACTGGAAGGACAAGTCAAAAAGATTATTACATTTTAGGTACAGCACTAATATGCCCCAGTTCAGGACCTGGTCTGATTTTACGGCCCTGGGATGGGAGCCAAACGTGGCACAAATTGGATGATACAAAGACACAGTAAATAACGCTTCTACAATGAACACCCACCACAGACGACTATCTCACTACAAGCTGTAAAACACTGCATGGATAAGCCTCTCAGCCCTCCAGAGCCACACGGTCAGACCTAATTCTTTTTTTAAACATTTAACGCTTCTTGCTTTCAGGCCAATGCCGCGGCAAAATACAAGATTTACAGAAGTACATTCAGCCAGGAAACACGGCGAGGAATCATATCGTCTGTTAAACTATTAGTTGACAAGACTGACTTTATAATTTAAGGTTCTACCGGGGCAGCGGTCTCCAAACTTTGAGGGTCGGGTTTTCCAAGAGGAAGTCAAGAATAGTTTCCAACAAACAAAGTGAGGATGAATGAATACTCGGGCTGCAACTAGAGATTATTTTGACAAGTGATTAATATAGCAATTATGCTTTTAAATTAAATAGAGTCCTTGTTTAGAACAAATTATTTCATCTAAATTTGATGCAGAAAGAGTGAAGCCACAGGTTGACATTCTTACAGCTTTGTCTGGAAATATCTATTTCATAAGTAAAATGTTTTGTAATTTCTGAGTCTTAATAAATTCTCATAAGAGTCTGTCTTTATAGCAGTTAATAGATTCCAAAAATAGTTGTTGGTTATTGAAAGAACTCTTGTGGTGAAATCGATTAATCCTTGAAGCTCTAATAGAAGAAAGAAATACTAACATCTCAACTGCAAAATTGGTTAGTTGTTTTTATTGAGCATTCACATTTGTCTGATACTTCAATCTCAGCCACAACTTCAAAAGAGCATGTTTAGTATACGAGTTAGTTCATCATTTAAAACATTTAGACTCAATATTCCTGTGATAATGCTTGGAACATATTGAAATCGATACAATAAGCCATGAATTAAATTTAAAAGTGATTCTGACCAAAAGCACACCCATACTGATAATCATACAAGTGATTAGCCGGCAGAAAAAGACACATCAAGATGTTTCAGTTAAATAACTAACTTGACTCACCCCACGTCTCTGTCCAGCATGGTGCCGGGATGAAAAGGGGGGAAAGTGCTACCGTTGGGGGGCTCCTTGGGGGAGTACAGTTTGAACGACTTGGAGGAACAGCCTAAAACAGACAAGCAACAAGACAAGCATTAGGACTTTTATTATTGTATTGAATACACATACTTGAATTACTTTTATTCTTTTAAGATTAAAAAAGGTAACAAGGTAATTGTGCATGCACTCTCTTCAATTTGACTTTACAGCAGATATTGTGATGCGAGAGTCACACAGCGATTGGCCCAGTTTCAGTTGGCTGCACTTATTAACAGGTCATTCCCAGTAATGCACCAATTGGGGTGCACCACCAAAATGAAAATCAAAGCATGTCAATATAAAAGCCCCGTGTAAATTGTGAGCAAGTAAAAACACTATCTGCTGATCCCGTTGCATTTTTCACACTTCACAAATAGATCTTGCCATCAACATGTGACAGACCTTGTTATGCATTTTATCCACAACATAAACATAGCTACAGCTGCCCCTGTAGATGTTTACAAAGGTCATCAAGTCATAGCAACATTTAGGTCATAACCTCTGGAGTTGCTACAGCGAAGCCCCTCCCAATAACATCTAATCTCTGTATAAAACATGTCACCACCATTACAAAGTATAATATAACAATTTAGACATTTAGGTCATGGTAGCATTGCCTTTGAGTGTTTGTTTCAGTTGATTGGCAAACTGCAAAACTTTACATGCAACTAAAATAGTGAAAAAATAGATTTGAAATATGTCTTGACATTATAGAAGTTTTGATCCCATACACACACAACAAAACCCACAAAAGGAACCCATATTTCAAAATTCCACAATGAGAAATCCAAGCACCACTTTGTGTAAAAACTACAGCCATTTAGTTGCATATACGAGGCAGTTGTGCTCTGCTGTGGCATCAGGAGCAGAGGAAAACAAATGGAGATGATAAATAAATAAATAATCAATAGTTATGTGTCCATTAGTTGTTGAGAGCTCCATTAGCCCCTCTCTTTTCCTGTTAGTGGTTAATGACAGACCGTCACAATCACATCAGCTGGTTTCCACTTCCTCCACTGGGACTGGCCTCATCTGATTCTGCACAAACATCAAATGCATTACTGTATACTTCAGCTGTATGCATTTAGAAGTCACATCCCTTTTAGAAATGTTATCTGAATATGAGTCTTTTATGACAACTATATTACAATAAAGCAAAAGTCAGACAACATAGTGACCCTCCATCCTGGACATCTGCCACAGTCACTGCTGCTGTAAAGGGACGACAGCTCCGTTTATTGCAGTGAAAGCTACATCCAAAGCAAGCATGCTAAACTGAAGCCAACTGGGGTTTACAAGTCAGATATGTGCTGCAGATGTTTTACCTCACACACACTGTATTATGTTTAATAGTAAAGCTTACAAAAGGCAATTAGACCTGGCAAGAGTAGAATGCTAGCACTCAGGTTAGCCTTTGCCTGGTTTATATTTAGATTCAAGTCGATTATAAGGTAAATCTAGTTAGAAAACACAACAGCCTACACACAGAGAGATTATAAACGTACAAAGTGAAAGTTAAATCAACATAAGACTGGTCTGAAGACGAGACAATCACACAGGCCTCTGAAGCCAGTGTTAGCAGCACAGTTAGCCCAGGCTGCCATTAGCCGTGCAGCTAACACCGACGCGTTAAATACACTTCAGTGCAACATCAAAAAGGGTAAACAAACGCCAACAGACAGGAAAGTGAACAACGACCAACCCCATGACTGTTTATTAGAGAAGTATGTTTGTATTTGCTTCAAAGCGACCCTTTACCTGGAGAGAAGTCCAATCAGAAAATTGATGTTTACAGATCCGTGATGATAGACGCTCCGTGCGTAAGAACGGATAGGCCCGCTGCACGCGACGTACCAACACCACCCGTCCCTTTCAACACAATCAATAAAAGCTCCTCGAATCGCGAGATAGAGAGGGAATAAGGGCAAAATTGCGGGAGTCGCTGGGCTGCGTTTTGTCCCGCATGAGGCCTTGTCAGTGGGCTGCAGCCTGCTGTGGGTTTACTTACGGACCCCGATGAGCCCTTTGTTCACGGGAGGACATGAACAATAGCTGTAGGCCCTCCTCCTCTCGCTCCGCAATGCTTTTGCTCCTCTCCTGTGCCCTGCACCGCCAGCCGCCCTCTCCTGCTCTCCTCCTCCCACCACTAATGCACAACTGCACATAAAGGTTGTCTGCTAAGCATTTTTTCGGTCTTCCTCACAACATCCCATATTCCTCTCATAAGTGACAGAAATCACAATTGGCCTAATGCAGTAGACTCAGAGATCATGTCAACGGCAAATAGGTACTGATGTGTTTGATTAAGTAGCTTAAATTAAATTGCCACCGACAACTGGACTGAAATAAGGCTTAAACATCTTCTGGCAGTGAGACACAAAAAAAAAAGAGTAAACACTTAATTATATGCACTTATTATTTAGGGCCTTTGTTTGATCATTTACCAATTTATTGGGAGGAAACAAAATATGCAAAATCAGGCTTTCATTCCATACTTTTTTTGTTTTCAATTTTTATTTCAACTATTTTATCTTGGAACTGAAAAAAAACTACAACTGTGAACTGTGTTCATGTCAATGTAAGATATCAGTGACTTCTGGGAATTTCTCTCTCCCACACAGAGCACTAAGCCAAAAGGAGAGTCCCCCAGGCCTCTAAATCTTCTTAAATCGCCCCATATTATAATCAGATATTCAGATCACAACCAGGAAAGACTCACCCATATGGCTAAAGATTAGATATAAAAAGAACAAGGAAAATATTAGGTCAAAGAGCAGTGTACAACATTTCACTGCTAGCAGGAAGTCTAAACAGGCTTACATTTCCAAACATTCTCTGAAGTAAATGAGGAAATGCAGCAATGAGTTGTCTGGTGAAACCAATGACACTAATAAAAATGAATGACAAATCCAGATTAAATAGTCACAAACAGCCGGTGACAGTACATCACAATGTATTTGTTTTGTTTGAATCCAGTGCGTGGGTCAGAGGGACCAGTGGCACATACTAGCATCCTAATATTGTCAGTCTACCTGAGGGCAGCTATGGATACAATAGCATCTTACTGTGTGCTATAAATTAATTATTCATGAAATTGTAATGCAGCTTTTGGGCAGTGAAAAGCGTACTTCTGTTGTGATACGTGCGTTATATTCTAAACAATGTATTGGAATACTTAATGTCTGCATGTTTATATCACTGAAGTGCTCCAGCTTTCACTGTTAACACTGTCTCTCCTGTTGGAATGTGGATCCAAGTGACACTGACATAACAAAATATGATTGACACCAAATAATAACAAACTTTAAACATATTGAATTTACATAACAGGCCATAACAGCTGGTCATGTCTGCTGTAATCAATAATGCTCTCATCTTCCACACAATCTTTGTTCTTGCCAGATTTTTTACTAAGCAACTTGTTTATTAGTCCACTATTTACCCCTTTTTTGTTTTGTAATAATTATCAGCTGTGCTATTCATACCATAACACAACTTTATAACTTTATAACTTTATAAGGTGCAAGAAAATGTTTTCTGAGTGTCTAAATATTTCTGCATTTTATCTATATTAGATTTAATATTGAGATCTGTAGCTGTTCCATGAAAAACAAAACCAGCAACAGAATCTGGCTGTTAGTTTGCAGAAGTTTGCAGAAGTTTGCAGAAGTTTACACCAGAAGTAAAAATATTCTTGAAATGAAACATTTAAATGTAGCATTATGCATATTGTAATTTTTTGTTAATTTGACATTTGACAGCGTACATTAATCTACATGTCTGTAAATATAGTCCCTGGACAGCTGTTGCACTTGTCTCTCAAAAACGTTGAGCTTAAAGACTCACACGAAACAGTGCAAATACAAAGCTGTGCCATACTTCTGTCAGATGAAGTGATATTATATCAATACTTCTATATGTTTGAACATTTACAATATAAATTGCTGCTGGAATAGTTTGGAGGGTTGGAGGATACAGAATGTTGAAATCAAACAGAAAATTGACAGGTTGCATTTTGCAAACCGCAAAAGCTGTGATTTTCCAAATCCATGATTCTAAAAGCAGTGGGATTCATGTGGAAGTGTAACAGCTCATATTTCAGTCTCTCTTCAAATGTGATGTTTTTATTGCACATATTTAATACAACACTGTGGGACTGTTATCAGACAGTTATTTGTTCTCAGTGTTGGGAAAATAAATAAATGTACAAAAATTCATACTTCTGTATGAACAATACAGAATGTAGTCCTATAGTCCTATGTAGTCCTTATATTAACCAAAATATACGGACTACAAAGAGGTATTCGACCATGAAAACCTTTAGTTGTTCAGATGTGTTTCAGCCTTTTAATTTTTGCATTATTAAACACTGTTTGAATGCTGTGTTTGGGAGAATGCTTTAAAAAGGAATTCAAGTAATCCATAACACAGTCCAAACACTGTACGCCTCAAACTGAGGACATTTCAGTGTTGCAACACACAGTACATAAACACCACGAACATAGGATACATTCAAATGAAGATTGATAACTGACAAAATATTGTTGAATATTCAACTCGTTTTAAGAAAAAACAAGCTACAATAATCCCTAATCCCGATACTTTGGCTTTTAATATCTGTCAATATGAATCAGTGAAAATCCTTTTCCGCTATAATCACAGAAAACGTATTACAAAATGAGTCGTTTCGTTTTTTTTACAGTTTTGAATTTAAAAAAAAATCTCTTTGCATCTTTACATAAAAATAAAGTCATTATTGGGGGAATGGCTGAACCAATATTATCCAACTGATACAAAATACAACTTTTCCAAATGTGAGCAACAAACAAAACTTGATCACCCAATTATAATACATAAAACTTTGAGCAATAAATCCAACTATTTCTAAATGAACTGAAAATTATATTGCAACGATTCACATAAAAATCGCAATTAAATATTTTGTCAAAACCTCTCAGCCCTCCTGCCACTCTTAGCTGAGGGTTTCTGCTGAATTAGTATGTGAGAGAGGTTCAAATGAAGTGACAG